TGCTGTAGATTGTATTGTTTGATACGTATCTTTAGAGGGCCCTAAGGCAGAGAAACATCCTGCACCCGTTGAATAACTTGCAAGTGCAAGAATGTTTGAAACGTAAGTATTTTGAACTTTCTACCACTTCCTCCATAGTCTCCACAGTTATCCACTCGGCCATCCCCACAACTGACATTTCTCGGGCCGCTAACTCAAGCTATCCGTGGTAATCCTGGAAAAACCATCACTCGTAACTTTTCCCAGAAGATCATTGAGCAGCTAAAAAACAAGGATTTGGTATTAGTGCCCCAAGGCCAGCACAATGATATGCATCACGTGTGGAAACCCCACTTCGAGCGAGGGTCCTTTCCTTGTCAGAAAAATTCAAAAGAGCAGAAAATAAGACACATCGAATTTTTCCCTGCAAAAAAGCAAAATTTACAGTTGTGGTGCAAATCCATGAATGTTTAGAACTAATGACTCAGATAAGTTTTTTGTAAAGTTCACTTAACCTTTGCCAGAAAACGTACATCAATTTTTTTTATCCTCGCATGTGTCCCGCTTACGCAGGGTCTGCTTTTCTTGTGAGATGTCTCCATGTGGTCCTATCTGAGGCAAGATCTTCATCTATACCAAGTTCCCGCAGGTCGGCATTGATTCTGTCCATCCACCTCATCTTGGGTTCACCTCTGGGCCTTTTGCCTGGTGCCTCCACAGCCAGGGCCAACTTGGTGATGTGACTTTCATCCCTTCTGCTCACATGCCCATACCATCGTAACCTCTTTCCCTGCATTTTCTGGGCAATTGGATCTACTTTCATTCGCGCTCGTATAGTGTCAGTGCAGATGTGATCCTTCAGTGTGAATCCTAAGGTCCATCGTAGCATCATTGTTTCCATGACACTGAGCTTGCGCTCCTCGTTCCGGGTACACGGCCAGCACTCACTGCCATACAGTGCTGCTGGACGAATAACGGTCCGGTACAGTTGGGACTTAAGTTGCACTGGCATTCGTTTGTCGCACAGAACTCCTGTTAAGGCTCTCCATTTCATCCATGCTGTGTTCATCCTGCCTGCGACCTCATCTTGTAAGCCTCCCTCCGCTGAGATGCGACTGCCTAGGTACTTGTATGACGTTGTCTTTTTTAGCTCTTCACCATCGATGTTTACGGTACCTGGAGTTTGTTTCCCCACTTCCATATATTCTGTCTTCCTGGTGTTGAGCTTCAGGCCATACAACTCTAGCCTGTTTTTCCAGTTTTGCACCTCGTCTTGTAGCTCCTTTCTGGTACTTGCTATCAAGACCACATCATCTGCGTAGAGAAGTGTCCAAGGGGGTTCACGTCTAAGCGGTTCCATCATGGCGTTCATCACAGTGATTAAGAGCAAGGGAGAGAGAACTGAACCTTGGGGTACTCCAACCTTGATTTTGAAATTCTTTGATTGCCCTGCAGCTGATTGCACGTGGCTTGACGATTTTTGATAGATCAACTTTATCCACTGAACGTACTCCTCTGGCACCCTGTGTTTCCGTAAGGCCCACCATATGACTTCATGGGGCACCTTATCGAAGGCTTTCTCCAGGTACAGGAAGGCTGCATGCAATTTCTTCTGCTTCTCTCTGTATTTCTCCATCACTATCCGAGCGGAGTGGATTGCATCAGTTGTACCTACTCCTTTCACGAATCCGCACTGATTTGGTGACAACTCGATGATATCTCGAAGGCGTGTTTCGATTACTCGCTCGAAGATTTTTAGAGTGTGGCTCATCAGTCGGATTGGTCGATAGGATGCGCAGTCCGCTATGTCTCCTTTGTTCTTCCATATCGGGATGGTCGTGCTGAAGTACCAGTCGCGAGGCATACTCTTGCTCCTTATGATTTGATTGAGGAGACTTGTTAGCCATGTGGCTCCTGATTGTCGACATAATTTCCAGAACTCGCTTGGTATGTCGTCTGGACCAGTCGCTTTGCCATTCTTTGTTCTTCTTACAGCCAGCCATACTTCCTCTTCCGTGACCTCTGGTACTGGTCCCTCTATGGGGCTGGCTTCCGGGATGGAGTTGATGGTGCGGCCTGTGGTGGCCATCTCTTCGAAGTAGGTTCTCCATCTTTCGGTAATGTCCTCTGGTTTTCTTAGACTCCTACCAAGTTTGTCTTTGATATGGAGGAAGTGCTCCATATCTTTTGTGGACTCCGCTCTTCTTCTCGCTATCCGGTATATTTCGCGTTCTCCCTCGCGGGACTCTAGTTGATCGTAGAGCTCCTTTGAGTACACCTGTTTTGCCTTCTTTACGGAAGCCTTCGCAGCACGTTTGGCTTGTTGGTACGTCTGGCGATCGTCCTCTAATTTCGTTTTATGCCATCGCTTGTACGCATCCCTCTTCTCCTTTATGACTTTTTGCACTTCATCATTCCACCACCACGTTTCTCGATTGATCCTTCTTTTAACTGGCTTTGTACATCCCAGGAACATGCGTGCCACATCGTGGACTCGATCTTTCAAGCTTTCCCAGGTGATCTGGGTTATCTTGCAAGCGTGGTAGAGTTGTTAACAATGCTTGTTTCGCCGCGTTGTTGCCTTTTAATCTCCACCATTTAATGCGTGTCCTAGTCTCTGTGGCTCTCCTGGTGTGTCTATCCATTGGGATTCTGATGTCGAGAAACAGTGGTCTGTGCTGAGGTATGCAGCTCTCACCGGGAATGACTTTGCAGTCCTTTACGTTTTTGAGGCCACGTTGTCGGATAGCTTAGAAGTCTATCTGTGTTCGCCGATCGCCACTCGCATATGTTATGAGGTGTTCATCCTTCTTGATGTTTTATGTGTTCGCCAGGACCAGATCATGAGCTGAGGCGAATTTCAGAATGCGCTCACCTTCTTCGTTGCATGTTCCGTATCCGTGGCCTCCGCTACATTTCCCGGCTTCTCCTCGCCTTTTTCCCATGTCCGTTGAGGTCCGCTCCTAGCAGGAGTGTCTCATCCAGTGGAACTGTTCTGATGTGGTCATCCAACTCCTGCCAGAACGCGTCTTTTTCGTCATCCTTACATCCGACTTGTGGCGCATAGGCGGTAATTACTCGTAGGACCTGTTTCCCAGTATCTATCTTGATGCTCATCAGACGATCGCTTCTGCGCTCAACGTCAAGTATATTGCTCCGTAGAGTCTCCGAGACAGCTATACCAACCCCGTTTCTGGTGCAGGTGGCACCGTTGTACAGGAGCTTATATCCATCTCCGATGTCGCTTGACTTTGCCCGCTCCACTTTGTTTCCTGTATGCAGGCTAAATCGACTCGCCGTCTCTTCAGAAGATCTGCTAGCTCACGAGAACGAGAGGTGAGTGTGCCCATATTGATGGTAGCTAGACGGAGAGTCTGCGATGCCTTGGTTCGTTGCCTCTGGTGAACTAGCCGCTTTGGCCGTCCCCGTTCACCTTGCTGAGACGGTAACCCTCGCCCACTCTTCGCATTCGTCGGGCTCGAATGCGCGTCGCTTCCGGGGGACGCCCTAGCCTTTACTCGAGATTCTATATGAGACATGTCTGCTATGGTGATGCGACGGGGTGTTTCTCAGCCGGCTTGTCGCATCTTCTTTGGAAGGGCAGCCTGACGCTGGAATTGTGAGCAGAATTTTTGCCACAGAAATTAGGCTCAGTGTGGAATCGAACCCGTGACCTTCAGCACGGTAATATTATGTAGAGCACTAACCACTAGACTAACTCTGCTCTCAAAACGTACATCGATCAGCATCGCAAAAAAAAATTCATAGTTTTTGATACTTTGCAATACAATAAAAAATTCAAGCAAAAAAATGATAAGAAAAATCGCAAGCAAATTTACGATTGAGTATAATCACTGTGAGTCAAGAGGTCTTTTCTGTGAAAGTGATGCCATCTTTATATTGAAAGTTTGTTTCACTTTTTATACCTGCATACGCGGCATAGTTTCATTCTTATTGATATACTTAGGCGATTTTCTTCGCCACTCCAAATCAACAAAAACAATCGAGCGATCTCTAAGGGAATTTGCGCACCTTAAATTGACGAGATGCGAGGCTGCCGTAAAAATCTCTCGACAAGAAATTGTGGACAACTATAGTGCGCTTACTGTAGCTCATTGTCAGCTACGGCCTTGGCGCCAGCCCTCACGGTGATCGGCACCAGGCAGCTACTTGGGTAACACTTGCATGCCTACGCCTTTCACAGGAGAGTATTTTCAATAAAAGTGGCATTTCTGAGGTTTGAGGATATTTTGTACCATCTTGAAAAGCTTTAGAAGCTGATTCCGAAGCTGTTTTCGTTATCTGCTGTGCGCCTTAAAGGCAGTGTCCGGGCGAAAAGTCGATTTTGAGATTTTGTGCTTACCCGAGCCTATTCCCTATGCTGAACCCGAATATCCACATTGGAAAGCGCGAAAATGGCAAAAAAGGGCTCTAACGCAGGAGTGAAATCAAAAGTGGGCGGGGTCTCCCCCAAGGTGAATTCACGGTCAGGTTTCGGAGCGATCTTTTCAATTCCACTAACCGCCCTGACATCTCAACGGACCAAGTGTGAATGCATGATCTAAAGTCGGAAGCGAAAAGATCGCTCCGGGAGCTGGGATCGTGAATTCACCCTGGAATTCACCCCGCCCACTTTTGGTTTCTCTCCTGCGTTAGAGCCCTTTTTCGCCGTTTTCGCGAATTCCAGTGTGGAATTTCGGATTTAGCGTAGCGAATAGGCCCGGGTAAGCACAAAATCTCACAATCGAGTTTTTGCCCGGGCACTGCCTTCAAAGGCAGTGTCACGGCAGATTCGCGTCCTGGGAGATATTGCTGCGGTGGGGTTCCTGGTCATCCCACTGACATCCATGCGCATTTCGGCTGTGATGTTCCCCATGGGCCGAGAAAATAGCCCTTGAACCGGCGGCGCGCGCCACCCCAATCGGCGCGCGTCGGACGACTTCGCTTACCGTTCGGCGCCGGACCCCACGACCGCTCTCTCGCATTTTGCATGCTATCCATAGCAAAAATTACACTCAGACAATCACAGGCTCTCAGCCGGCAGCCACAAAGCCACCGCGAAAACCCACCAAAAGCCAGGCAGCGGGGACTTCGTGCCAGGGCCTCCCAACTTTCCATCGAAATTTTCGTCTGAGCTGACTTCTAGAAATTGCGTAAACTCCCCAAAAAAGATCTTTTCACCCATTTCAAAGCTCATATTCGGGGTCTACGGGTCGAAAAGGCCCAAACATGGATGGATGATGGTGGAAATGATGGAAATGCTTAATCTGCAGGGACACTACCTTTAAAAGGCCGAGTTATGAGCGACTTTGAAGCGAAAAAATATCGCAGGTGTATACGAAGTCAAACATAAAGCCCTCGGCTCCAAGCATTTGTGAGTATGAGTATGCAGTGCTGGCCATAACTATAGAGCCGCCCTAAAAAATCGCTGTAATTTGCCCTCTCTTGGAAGAAGCTGTCCGAAAAACCATTGTTCTGTGTTTAACTCAACGTCATATCACTGACTAGAACGGCTCCCAATTTCACTGATTTTGACCGGAATAAAATTGAGGATTTGAAAAAAAAAACTTGTTCCGAAGGCTGGTCAAGCTATAGAGCCACCTCCCATTTATTGATCAACCAGTCCAAAGCGCCGTTTGCGGCGCTTTGAACTGGTTGATTACTTATGGTTGCCTGAATTTTTGCAAACACGTAATTGCAACCTTGGAATTAAAACCCTTTAGCAATCTAGTAGTGGTGCGCAGTAAATCTAACATGACTCCAAATTTTGCTCCTTTTAACTCCTCAGCAAGTCAAGTCTTACGGAACTGTTGAGAATACTACAACTTCAAAGTTTTGAGCGAATTTCTCCCGATTGAGTGATCAGAGTGGGTTATGATTACGCAAAGTGCACAATCCATTTCTAAAAGAAAGAGCGTCTAAGGCGGAACCGGAGTTCTCGGAGTGACGTCTTGAAAGTATGATAGAGCTTTTTCGGCATCAGAACTCGCTTCCGTAGCTGTAAAGCACGTCTTACCCGAAGGTGAATGGGAAAACTTGTTTTCTAATATCAATGAGTACGCAATGTTGACGAAAGCGCTTTTTACCATATTCATTGCAAAGGCTCAGCGAATTCTAGGACATTCACCTGAGTTAAACAAGTGCTTGAAATTTTGGTGAAAAAGCAAATTTTTATGCATTTTGAAGCAAAAAATGCAGTATAACTTTATTTTTAAAAGGCGGCAGCTCCCAGGTGTGGAAGATGTCCAACATTTTAATGCTGTCTATGTGCAGAAAATTGTAGGTTTAAATGTTACATTGATCGAAAATGGGAGATGGCTCTATAGCTGTGACCAGCCTTCGAAACAGGTTTTTTTCAAAGTTTTCAATTTTTCTCCGGCCAGTAACAAACGAAATTGGGAGCCGTTCTAGTCAGTGATATGACGTTGGCTTACATACAGCATAGTGGTTTTTCAGGCAATTTTTTCCAGGAGAGGGCAAATTACAGCGATTTTTCAGGGTGTCTCTATAGCCATGGCCAGCTCTGTATCAGACAGAGAGTATTTAATGCGTGAAGTGGCCTGATATAAGATAGTGCCCCATTTGAATGGTTTCAAATGATGTTCCAATGGCGCGTTAAACTTTTAGCTCAAGGACACTCGTAACTTCAGTTGAAGGGGAATCAGCAAATAAGACAACTTCGAAACAAGCATTTAGCACTCTTTTGGTGCAGTTTTTATTATATTTGGATAACCTCCGAAGGATCAGTTGTCCCTTTCGGCCTCTTCAACTCACAAATCCATCAGTTATAGCCCTCTCATCGGATAATCATTATTGATTGGAAGTAAATCTTGTTACTTATCGTTGTAAAACCAAGATTATAGGATCCCGTGTACGCGTGGCGACAAATTGTTGAGGAGCCGCTGATCGCGGTAGCATTGGCAGGACTTATAATCAGGTATGGCGCGCCTTGAATGTTGAATAAATCCGCAGACTGTGCAAGGGCTTTAAAGCATTGCGTTCTTCAACTTCGCTGGAATAACCGTCACTAAAGTGCTTTCTGCAACTACCAGAACTGTGGTGGACAGCATCCGAACTGTTGTCATTTGGGCAGCCAGCATACCATTATTCCATGCGAAGTTCATTCCATATCAGGTAGGAGCTGAATTTTTTTTTGTCCAAAAAGTTTGAAGGCTCTGGGATTCCAACACTATGCGAGAATGGGAGTCCTCTCCACCGCATCGCCTAAGTACGAATGCATTAATCAAAGAGAAAAAAGTGGAATTTGTTCCGGATTTTGGTACCATACGTACTAGTAGAATAGTCGCGTCTGCAAGTGTTTTATCTGGAAGCCCGTAGTATCCCCTCGAACCAGCTAATCTCCCCTGATAAATACCTTAATTTCAAACTGGTCAGTCGAAATGACGGCCGCCCATCTATTTAGGAAGGCCACCTGAACTGGTAGTTGACGGCGGGTCAACTGTCGTGGCTACTTTGCTGCGTAATAGTAATGTAAGGATAAATAGGAAGGTCATTAAATAGTATGTTAAGGTTGACAATTAATGAGCCCAGTAAGTTGCTCGTGAGTAGTATAAGGGACACCGAGGTTGGCAAACCTACTAAGGACGATAGTGCGCAAAACTACCACTTTCGGGGCTCTGCGGAAGGCGAGGGTCGATGAACAAGCTGATCACAGCCATAGGAAACAAAACAATCTTTTCATTATTCCTTGCAGAAAATACTTCGGTTTACTAGTGCGTTCATTTTCCCATACATTTCCAAGAAATTGAGATTCTTATGAAAATTCATGTTAAACTATTCTTCTACTCCTTTTGCTTCGCCTTCCCATTTCCTCGCCAATGTGATAGTGGCCATCATCAATTTCCCATGGTGGCCGAACTCTTTTTACGGCGCTGAAGGAGCGTTATATTATTGTTTAAAAATATTATGAAAAATCTGCGCATAGTTCTAAGAGGAAAGGTAGAAAACTATGAACTTTGAGAAACCGTCAACGGCTAAGAGCGTTATTTCAGATAATCGGATTTGTGCTGCTTATTCTTGGTATGTGCTTCTATAATGACATAATATTTGGTCCATGGTATCGTACTAAATTCTTACCGGACATTAATACCACCGAAGAACCTAGAGGGTGTACTCGGTAAGTTTTTTTTTGTGCTTTTGTATGTGTGCGTGCCTTCTCCCTGCGTCCAACAAATTAGAACATTCGGTTTTCACAAACATCGTGGCCTAGATGACATCCACTTTGTGTTAGGGGAAAACACTCAAGTGGTGTAAAGATCACATTGGAAAGTATAGCTCATTCGTTGACCGCACGGACTGGACATCAATACGGAGCACGCGCCGCGAGGTAAAACGCTTGCCCCAGTACAAACTCGCCATTGTACAAATCGTGCTCTTGCAACATTTTAGGCGCGCCGCGCGTGGTCCGCAGCTCTTGAGCAGTCCGTGCGGTCAACGATTCAACAATATACTATGTTGCCGCTTCATTCCATATACAGGGTGCAAAAGTTGCATGTTTGGTCGTTAATATCTCTTCCCACAAAGCCTTTTGCCTACCTTCAAACATCATTATGTAAAGCTAAAAGGCAGTGTTCGGGCAAAAACTCGATTTTGAGATTTTGTGCTTACCCGGTCCTATTCACTATGCTGAACCCGAAAATCCACATTAGAAAGCTCGAAAACGGCGAGAAAGGGCTCTAACGCAGGAGGGAAATCAGAAGTGGGCGGGGTCTTCCCCACTGCGGAATCACGCTCCAAGCTTCCGGAGCGATCTTTTCGGTCCCAATTCAAATCATGCGTTTGCACCTGGCCTGTGGAAATCTCAGGACGCTAGCGGAATTGAGAAAATCGCTCCAGAAGCTGGGACCGCGAAATTCACAGTGGGGAAGACCCCGCCCACTTCTGATTTCCCTCCTGCGTTAGAGCCCTTTTTCGCCGTTTTCGCACTTTCCAATGTGGATTTTCGAGGTCAGCATGGCAAATAGGCCCGAGTAAGCACAAAATCTCAAAATCGACTTTTTGCCTGGACACTGCCTTTAACTTAGAGATCGGCCATAGGCCGGCAACTGTTGCCAGGGTTGCCTGGCAGAGGTTGCCCAGGTTGCCGGAGTTATTTACTATTTATTACATAGGCTACCCTATGTTGACAAAACAGCAATATCAACAAAAAAGAACAAAACAGCAATATCAACAAAATATTCGAATGACAATGAACCAAAAGTGTTAGTAACAATAACATATCAAAACATCCTACTGCAGATTCATGGAGAAAGTAGATAGTTCTTCAGGACTGCTTTGAACTGTGAAAGCTTATAATGGAGCATTCCCTTCCTCATTAGCTTATCAAGATCACTGCTTACTCTATTAACAAAAAACCTTCTCCTCACATTCCTTCTCGCTCTAGGCACCACTATCTTCATTGGCCCTCCTCTCGTTCTTGAGCCTCATTTGGAAAAAGTCCGAGGGATTGACCTGATACTCTTTGAACAAGATTTTGTGTGCTGTAATAAGGTCAAATACCCTTCTCCTGAAAGCTAAACTATTTAATCCAAAGTTTTTATTACGCCGATTGCCATCAACTATTTCATCATAATCAAGCCCTTTGGTTCGGATCCATAGTTTTCTAGTAAAACTATTCTGGACTTTCTCAAGGGTCCGTATAGAGCTGACTTTCGTGGGATTGAATACTACCGTGCCGTACTCAAGTAGAGGCCTAATGTAGACTTTATAAGCTCTGATAAGGAGGGCTGGATCACTACTTGATAAAGCACGGAATAAGTTGTGTACAGCTGCATTGCCCTTCGCAGCAATAGTTTCACAATGTTTATCAAAGCTGAGATTGCTACAGACCAGAAAGCCGAAATCTCGAATCTCATCAACGTACTCCAGAATTTCTCCTTCTATTTGATACTGATAGTCCAAACCTCCAGGTCCAATGTGAAGAACTTTTGTTTTTTCACGAGAGATTGGCAAGTTCCATGTTTTCGACCATTCAAAAACGATATTTAGAGCTTCTTGCAGCGTAGCCTTATCTGCCATTGTTGTGATTGTTTTATAGATTTTGAAATCATCAGCAAAACTACAGCAGGACACTCCTGCTCTGGAAACAAGAGCAGGAAGTTCATGAGTGTAGATGTTAAAGAGTCTTGGAGATAGTACGCCTCCCTGCGGCACGCCACTAGACATCATTCTGAAGCGAGAGAACGTCTTATTAACGTGAACCGAAAATTTGCGATTGGATAAAAAAGCGGAGATCCAGGAAACAAAAATAGGATGGATACCAACTTGTTTGAGTTTGACTGCAAGTTTTGTATGTGAAACCTTGTCAAAAGCTTTCGTGAAATCAAGATAAACAACATGAATACTTTGCCCAGAATCCAACGAATGGGTCCAATCGTTTAGCGAATACAACATACAAGTAACGGTGGATCTGCCCTCTTGGAAACCATGTTGGGCAGTGGGAATTATATTTTGTTTTTGTTGATGATTAACTATCTGTTTTTTGATTAGTTTTTCAAAAAGTCTCGAAAAAATCGATGTTATGCTCACAGTTCGATAATTGGATAGGCATGTATAGGATTTCTTCTTTGGTATAGGAGTTACGAAAGAGATCTTCCATCGTTCAGGAATTTCAGATTTCATTAAGCTCAAATTGAATATGTATTGGAGTGGTTTAGAGATTACATGGGCCGCCGCTTTGATGAAATGCAGCGGAATGCCATCCGGTGTGAACGACCTAGATGGAGGCCATTTCCGAAGGACCTCAAAGATTTCAAAGTCACTGAAATATCGTATATTTCATCTCCGTATAGTCAGGTGGCAAGGAGCTTGTATCAATGTGTACTGAATCCTGTTCAAAAACTTTTTCAAAGCCATCAGCAAAGCCTTCAGCTTTGTCAAGGTCTGAAGTCATGGTATCCCCCGTGTCGGATATGATCACACCCATTTTTTTCCTTTCTTTGATTCTACCGTTGAGCAAGCGAAAGAATGCTCAACGGTAGAATGCGGTCCTATCTCCCTCTTTAACTGTCTTATTTTTCAAGTAGGTATTATATTTCTTAAGTCTTTTTTCAAACCTGGCGTCTACCCTTTTGAAAGCAAGCAAATCCTCTGGTTGGCCAGTAGCTATAAATCTAAACCAGGCCGACTCGCGAGCTCTAAACAGTCTTTCAATGTGGACTGGTAATTTAGGTCCACTTGATGGGACAGCCTTTAGCGGAATGAAAAGAGTGATTGCATGTTGGATTGCAAAAATCAATAGTTCATACATATCATTGACCGTTGTGACTACTCCAAATGATCCAATCCAATCAATAGACTCGAGATATCTAATGGCAGCCTCAACATATTCGGTTTTATAATCCCTTTTCAAAACAATATCACCAACGGGACCACTTACATAACGTATGTAAAAACTAAGTAACAAGTGATCACTAGTTCCGATAGGAGGTTCAACCCTGACCTCAGTAACCAGTGACTCATCGTTGGTAAGTACCAAATCGAGAGTGTTTTGCTCATGGGTATGATGTCTAACCTTTTGAACGAGGTTCTGGCTCAGACACATATTCAAAAAGTTCCTTGACATGGAGTTGCCCCCATTAACTTCCAACGTATTCCAATCAATATCAGGGAGATTGAAATCTCCCAGTAGGATAGTCGAGAAATTCACGGCCATCAAGTCTGAGAGGGCCTTGATCAACTGATCGAAAATGGGACGTGGGCAGGAGGGCGTTCTATACACCAATATTATTCGACCTTTTCTCGTACTGGTATGAATGTCTACACAAAGTAACTCATAACTATATGATCGACTCATTGAATACTAAGAGTGGGCACAGAGCCTTACTTAGAAGTAAGGCTACACCACCGCCCCTTTTGAACTTGCGATCACATCTATATATCTCGTAAAATCTGCACAATTCGCCAAAAAGGGCGGCATCGGATATATCATAGCTTGCGTTCAACCAGGTCTCTGTAATCCCGCATATACATCGCAAGGTATTAGCGAGGAGGAATGTGAGCATAGATAAATTTTTTTGCAATGATCTTATATTTGTCAGAAAACACAAAAAAGACGAAAAAGAACTATCTTCTCTCCGAGGAATAACCATGCGTTTAAAGAATCAGCAAAATCAGTATGGGAAGAATGATTGATGACATCCATATGACTATTAGCAGAAGGGGAAACATGGGAAACATGAGAATCAACATTTTCATTTCTGGAAACACTTATTCGCAATCCTTTCTCTAGCTTGAGCTTTTCACGCTCCGCTTTCGATAAGGACGCCCTAATGAATATTCCTTTTTTGTAAGGAAATTTCTTCATCAGATAAGCTCTCTTAAGTGTTAGTCCAACAAAAAAAGTTGAAGGCATTACTACTTTAAGCAATCTATCCCGCGAAAAACTAGGTCTCCCCATGCGGTAAATTGCAATGGGGGCACAATCAATATTTAAAAAATCGAAAGTCTGACAAACACAATTCGAATCATGATTAACTCTTACGCTGATTGGTCCACCACGATATTCCGGAATTCCAGCCACTACCAACGATCGTCTTCTTTCTTGTTCCTGCCATCCAATTTGAACCACGGCGGTTTGACTCGGAAGATTTGTTCCGATTTGATCCACAGAAGTTGGTTCGGCTTCCGACTGGTTTTTTGATCTGAGAGATAACCTCAATCTATCGTTTTCGGATTTGAGCGAAGTAATCTCATCAGATAATTTTTTCACTTCGTCCATCAATTCACGATTGCTTCTGACAATCGACTCCATTTGTTTGCGACTTTCCAGCAAGTATCCGATTATAGTCCTAGCATATAGCGGGAGATTATCGTCCAGCAATAGCGAATTGGCGGCCTCGTCCAAGTCAGGGGATCGTGGAGGCGTTTCATCAAACTGCAGCCTTCGTTTTCGCTGGCGGTCCACAGAAGGAATTGGGTAAACCGGTGTATCCTTGACCATAATAACAGCAGTGTAGGGCGATTTCCTTCAGTAGTTCGACTAGGAATACAAGACGAATCGATCCTTGAGCGGGGATAAGGAAGAACCAGGGTTGCTGAGGTTGCCGGTGTTGTCGGTCGTTGTAGGACCTCTTAACATTCTCAGGCCCGTATGCACTAATAAGGAGAGGATACTTAGTCGAAAGCGCCAATCCAGATGAGACATATATCATCTTGAAGCGCTTGAAACGCTGATTCCAAATCTGCAGTTTTAGCTGCGGAGCGGTTTTGTAGAGGGAGTCATAAGGGATGTTTCCTCCAGAGTTGAGGCGCCCTCCACCAGTGGCCGTAATCATCAACGAAACCCGTGGGTTCAGGAACCCACTGGGTTAGTGTTTTGATGAATATTGATTCTACTCCAGGGAAGAATCGATATTCATCAAAAGCACTAACCCAATGTGTTCCGGAACCCACGGGTTTCGTTGATGAATACGGCCACAGGTCTCCCCCTACCCATAGGTCTTGTAGAGGAGTACTAACTGGTGGCGACTGACCTAGTGGTAAGTGACGTGCTTGATAAAGAGAGTGTCAAGGTTTTAATCCTCTTCGCATGCTAAAGTGAACTTCTAAATGGCTTTAGAGCCCTAAAGCATGAAACCTTTGATGATACTGATACTAATCGAAGTTAGAAGTGTTAAAACCAAAGTAATATGAGTATTATAATCTTTACTGTGATCTTCGTTCAAGTTAGTTACCATTAGGTCAGTTGCCATCAACTGATTTTCCTCTACAGTGCTTACAGATAAGGGGAGACCGCTAGTGGGCGTCTAAACCCCAGAGGGGAACACCCTTCATAACTCCTTCTACAAAACCGCTCCGCAGCTAGAAATTGCAGATTTGGAATCAGCGTTTCAAGCGCTTCAAGATGATATATGTCTCATCTGGATTGGTGCATTCGACTAACAAGGGAAGGAAGGTTGGTCGAAGTGGCCTTTGAAATGTGGTGCATACTGCCTTGTAGAGTTTGGAATGCTGATTCCAAATCTTCCTTTGCTATCTGCTGCGGGCTTCTGGGCGAGGAGTTATGAAGGATTTGTGATTAAAAATCTGAATGCAAAAATAGGGTAAAATCAGTCGTAACCTTTTCCATGGTTCAAATGAGGCAGCAGCGAATTGGTATGTTTGAATCAAGAATCTCTGTTGCACCGAGTGACCCGACTACCAACTAAACCCAATAAAAATGTTACGACTGATTTTAGCCTACTCTTGCATTCAGATTTTTACTACAAAGACCTTCATATCCTCGCCCAGAAGCCCGCAGCAGATAGCAAAGGTAGATTTGGAATCAGCGTTCCAAGGTCTACAAGGCCGTTTACATCTCATTACGAAGGGCCACTTCGACCAACCTTCCTTTCCTTGTAAGTATCCTCTCCTTGTAAGATCCCTGCGACGAAGTGAGCGGCGTCCCCAATGATGAAAAAGCCGCAGCGGTGTCTGCATGCGGTCTCTGCAAAATGGGGACGCCGCTCCCCTCACCGCAGGATGTTAGTGCATACGGGACTCAGTGTGTTGAGCATTCTCTAAACAACCCGAGCAACCCTATCAACAGTTACCGGCAACCGGCAGCCAATCCCTAGGTTACGGTGTTGAGCTAAGCATCTGCCTTACTTCGCTCCATACCATGAATCTAACAAGCTAAGGCCAGCCTACAGAATGGTACCTAGAATTAGACAAAAGAGTTGATGGGAAGAGAGATTGTAACAATCAAGCAATGCATGCATAATTTTGGGAAACCCGCAAGGGCTGCTCGCTTGTCGCCGGGTAAGTGGACCGTGCAATCATTTGAACACATCGATAAACCTCTTTCCTAAGGCTTTGTTTTTGTACTCTCGCGCTATCGAAAATCGCCACGTGTCCGTACAAGCTTCAAATCAAGATAAATCCTTTCCTAAACTCTTCCCGAGCACGATAAAAACTACTACAAACACAACGCCAACTTTCGTTGAATCGTAGCCATTCGCCAAAGATTTTGTACCGCGAGAATTTCCACAATATCTTTCTAGAAGCCTATGATTTGAGAGAGCTTAACGTCCTTTCAAACCTTCTAGAATGCCGCGAGCCTTGCTCACATAGGCTATTCTCGGTTGAACGAAGGAGAGAATTTCGGATTTTACGAATTTTCCTAGGAGAAAATATTGCAGAAAAATTGGAATTTTTGAATTGATTGAAATCAAATTTTTACAGCATTATGGAACAGCATAAAATTGCCTTCTCAGAAATTCAGTTTGGTAAGCATTTTGTAGCACGAGACTTCGAAATCGTTACGCATATTTCTTGAAACAAATTTGGTTGTTTTTCATAGAATTGGGGCAAGGAAGGTGAAAGGAAGGAATTTCAAACTTCATTTATAATATACGGTTTGAATAAAGCTTGCGAAAACAAGAGCTTACATGAAACCAGAAGGATCGTGCTTTCAGTCATACGAAAATTTTTTGGGAAAAATTTTTATGAAAACGGGTCACAAAACCGTGCATTAATTATAAAATGACCTAATATTCATCGATTCTGAGGCCAGGAGACTCGGGAACGAATTGGAACATTGTCTAAACAAGCATGATTTTGTTGTTTCCTATCCAAACGGATAATTCTTTGGCCTTTGCAGATGTTGCTTCGCTTTCTGGGGTGTGGAGAAAGAGGAAGAAGATGAAGAGGAGCAAGATCGAAAATCCTCGATATCCACCATAGAGGACCCACAAACGCAAAAAACTATCCAATCGACTCGCTCAGCACGTTCAGCTCGCTCAGTTCATTCGCATCAAAGCGCAGTGTCCATCACCGACGAGGGCCTTCCTGACAGTCGACGCTAGGCGTGAACATTGAACGCGGCGTGCATTACGGATCTCGCATGCAATTCTACGTCGCAGAAGTTTGAAAGCACACTAGAAATTTGTTCCTGAAGTTTAATAATGCACCGTGCGTTAATCATCCACTGATTCACATCATATCCATTCTTCAAGGAAAGATTATGTATGATGCTATGTTCTTCTTACTTTGTGCTATGTAATTCGTAATTCGGTTTTCTCCATCGATCTGTACGTGAACTGGCTTTTGAATTGCACTTCCCTATACGCATTGACAAGCAATGTTCTGTAATCCTGCATATTATTTCCATTATCCAGCCTATCTGTTATACTTCTCCAATCTACTTGTAACTGTTTCTCTAATCTCTTTCGCACCTTGGCAGTCTGCGTATCGATTGAGCTTGGTGTTTATCCTTGTAATACATGTGGATATAAGCCGCCGGAGTTTTTTGCTGGTTCGGAGCGTGTAGTCCGGGTTTTTCAAGCATGTGCAAGCTTATTCATGCATTTTTGCACGCATTTCTATCAGAACCTTGGTTTTCTATCACCTTATCGAAAATAAATTAATATTTAATGTTTGCAAAAGATTGTAGTGAGGCTCTTTCGAATAAGATGATCCTGCAGAATCAACTGATTCAGTATGCCGTTACCATTCTGCTATTTTCTCCCACTTTTCCCACCGATTCATTACCTTTTGCTCTACCTACAACACAAGATATTCCTCTGAATCTGAGTATGCTTTATACTTTTCATGAAGAAAAGACTCATGCGTTCTGACTTGCATGAGTGAATTAGTTTCGCCCGTAATCGTAAATCAAGTTTCGCCGCTAATAAGTTCTCGCACGCGCAGATTGTGTTCTGTTAACAGCTCCTTTCCGAGAACTTTCAGATACAACACTCCATAAATTATTCATTGTTGTGCGCACATCAAATTCCGTTCGACAAAATTTCCCACTCATTTCTAATTTACACTCCATCGGTCTGAATTCTCGCTTCATTGCTTTCTCTTGCTACCTTGCTGAGTGCACCAACTTGAGCATTCTATGAAATATATACCGTTTATTCTCTCTCATAATTACCATACTTTTTCATTAACAGGAATATAATTTAAAGGTTGGTACATTGTCAATAATCATTAGATCTTGTTCCGTTATGTCCAGCTACAGAATTTGAGAGTCTACAGGTAGGCGCACAACTTCATCTGGGGGGCGTATCGTTACGTGCGGGCTGCCAATTGGAAAACGTCGCGCGCGACCGGCTGCCAGTGACCGCACTCCGAGAATTCAGCCAGCATGATCCGCAACACATAGTTTTCAGTTCCTCATCCTTTTTTGAGGTTCACAGACTATTCTTATATTAGTTTTGCTTAATTATTTGAAGTTCTGCCACAAAAGTTGTAAAATGAGCTTTTAAAGGACAAAAAAGACACAGATTGAAGGAAGTAAAACACTAACAATATAGAAAAAGCATTAGTAATCTAGTGATATAAATCTGACAAGTTTTCTACACTGCCGCTTCCCCTGCGTAGTTACTATAAGGCCGCGTTGCGACGTTTTCCATTTGGCAGCCCGCACGTAACGAGCGCCCCCCCTTCATCTGTGATTCGCTGCAAAGATTATAGCAATTTCCAGCTATCCATTCGTGTTGATCGTATGGACAAGATTTTCCAAGCAAATAAGTGCCGAGAACCTTAATTTGCAGATGCAATTGGTGCACAAATGCATGCATTTTACTTTTGATCTACGTAACTGCGTCAAGTCATTAGCGGACAACAGAAATGTCTTTTTTTGAACCGGCATATTTCCAACAGATGGCTGCTGTGAGTGAAACTGAAATGGAAATATATGGGCTTTTGGAGTCATAGTGTAGCACTCCCTCATTCTTTGACGATGAATCGTGCCCATTTTGTATTCTCCTACCTCATCGATTGCTCAGTTTCTGCGAAACTGTGTTTCTAACAATTATCTAACCAAAGATCATCTTTGCACTTCGTTTTTTCTCCTTATCGCAGTCAGTTATCACCCCTGCTGCGTCTCCCAAATCTTTCGATTTCACTGGTAAATAGAAAGTTGCGATTACACATTTGACTTTGCGTGCAGCACACACACTCGCCAGTATCACTGATAATCCTTTTCCATTGTTGCACAAAAAGTGACACGAAAGCATTCGTACCCCAAAAACATGTGTTTGCTAAAAATGGTGGGAGAAGGGATGGGAAGTTGTGTTGATGTCAAGAAGATACTAACGGCCTTTCAAAAGGTTGTGCCTAAAAATTTTCTTGCTAACAATGGGAACAGAAGCAAGCTAAGATACTTTAGTGCTAAAAGCACATGTTGTATCACTTGCGGAGGCACCACATTGACAACTGCGCTTAAGCTTAGAAATCTGAAAGCCCTATAAGTATCGAAATCATTGGTCCTTAGCTGTTTCATATGACCAGGCCCGGCTATCAGTGGCGTACCGAGGGGGAGGGGCGTGCGCAGGGTCCTCCCTTGAATGGGTCGCGAATTTCTGAAAGTTACATGAGTTATAAAAAGTGCAAGTAACTTGTTTATACTTGTAATCAATTAAAATATTTTTAAAGCCTTTTATAAATCCCTTTTAGCCCTATAAAATTTTTTTCGGGCTTTTTAAATTTTTTTTGGCTGACGCCACGCCCCCTTTTTCTGAAATATTTTGGGGTGTGGGCCCGCGTATATTTTAGGAAACATATCAAGAAAATTTTTGGAGTGCTAGCCCCCCCCCCCCTCTGAACCGAAATCCTGAGTAGGCCACTGTCGGCTCTATGTATACGACTCTCACACACAAATAGATGAGTTTAGGGGGAAGTATATTAAGTCTTGCGTATGTCCTGATCAGTAATTCATATCTCTTGATCGACACATTTTTTTGTAAAAATAAAATGTTTTTCTTTGCTCTTGGAATTTTGTTTGTCAATACGCATAGTCGTGAGATCAGCCGAAGCAACACCTGTTAATCTAATGATGCATCGCAAGCCGCAACAACGAAAAATGTAAACGAATTACGGAAAAGAAGTTTTGAGTGTAATTTTATTTTGTGTGACGAACAGTCAAACTTACTATTCTTTGACAGTGTACTGTGCGATCGAATTATTTGCAGTCTTGAACCTGACTGAGAATCAAAGATATCCTTGCTAGCAGACCGATAAACAGGAATAATTTCTCTCAATTGCAGACACCACAAAAGTAATTCTCGCTAGCGAATTGAAATTAGCCGCATTCTGTTTTTTGTAAGATGGGATCACTTCCGTGATGTTGATGACTGACATTGACGAATGTCAATCGGCAAGCCCTTTTCAAAGAAGTTTTTTCAAAGGCGAGATCACGAACGCATCTTTCACTGCCTAACACGACCGCATGAAAAAGAAGGAATCATTTGTCAGCGCAGGGAAATGTCAGTTTTGTATCTGTTGAACTTGCACAGGGAAACAAAATTTTGATTTTCAGGAATTTTATGGAAAAGATCATGGAATGTAAGATGATTTACATAGAGCGCAGCTCTGAAATAGCCCTGAATTTCTGATTTAATTCTATTTGAGTCACTTATATTACTGTAGAGTCTTGTTTTTGCTTTTCATCCCATCTAGATCACGAATAAAAATGATACGGGTGTAAAATACGTCTACGCATACAATATCTTGCAACTGACGGTGAATGTTGTCTGATTGTGAGTCACGGGCTGGACGAATATTCAGTTTTCGTCTGCTTTCCCATGTCGAATGAAATTAATTAATATGAATGGATTAGAGTTGCTGCCCTATTCTTGCTAATGAAAACTTTATTGATTCGGAAAAAATTGCGCAAAGTTGGTTACATCATATCGTGAAGGCTCAACAAGCTTCTTTGATTGAAGAAGGAAATGTCGAGATGTTTGTGGTGCTCTGCGTCCCGTTTATCCTTAGACATCTTTTTGGCACTGAATTCTCTTCGTTGAGGGGAATGTCCCCAATTATCTGATATGCAGATATCCTTCTAGCCGTTACTTCCAACAAAAACCTACGTCTAAAGTTTTTTTTCGTCCTTCCTCAGCTAGACAAAATGACCTTGTGTACATGAACAGGTACCGATGAATACAAGCTACCTCCGCCGGCTGCGGGCGCCGGGAGCGTTGAAAGCCATCCTTATGGGTAAGCACTCGTAATATGTATTTAAAATCCTTTTACTTTCCTTTACGCAATTCGTTGGAGTTAAAGGTCGGACAAGCAACCGTCAGAGCAAAAAGATTGTCATAGACTACTCCAGTCCAAATATAGCAAAACAGTTTCACATTGGCAATTTGCGATCTACTCTCATAGGCAGGTATCTTGAGAAGGTTAGCCTCACAGTAGTGACTTTGTTATATCACCATTGCGAATGATTTCAGATACATCGTGCTATGGGAGAGGATGTCACCTCTATCAATTATCTTGGAGATTGGGGAACTCAGTTCGCTATGATTGCTACTTATTGGCGAAAGGTCAGCACCTTTTTCTGTATGTGAGGATGAATAGATAAGGATCTTCAAAATAGTTAGCCTTATCAGCGACTTAATTTTTGATCTTACGAAGTGTGTTAGGCAAAAAATTGCTATTTAATTTCTTGAGCTTTATCAGGAGATTTATTGCTTGTTCTTCGGGTTGCTTATCATATGTTTGTGCATCTTTTCTCCAGTCTTTTTCTTTGATTTTATGGCACTCGAAGAGGCAAAACATCGCCTCGGAACATTGCTTATTTATGGAATTCGATGTGAATGGTATTCTATAATATTTTAGGTTCGACCTTCTGACTCTTTCTGGAATTCATGTAGCGATGTTGATAAGATCAGAACTCTTACGGATTGCTATGTTGTGGCGAATAAACAAAGCAAAGTAGATGAGGAATTCCGTGAAAAAGTGAGAGACACTTTTGCCAGCATGGAGGAATGTATGGAAAAGTAACGAATGCTTCTACCCAATTCATCGTATATTCATGGGTAAAAAGGTGATTACAGCAACGAGTTGTCTTCTCCGGTTTTGCAACTCTGGCAAGATATCAAGAAAATTTCAAAACGACATTTGCAGCACTTCTATGATATGCTGAACATTGAGTTCGATAGGTATGTCGTCATCGTTTTTTTGTGCCATAAAGTTGCAAAATTTATAGCATGAACCGCATGCATGTCGGCATAGACGCCATTTTTCACAATTTTTGAGACGTCATATATTATTTGTGATGGCCTGGCTATTAAGATGGGAATACGAATCATCGTATGTGACAGCTGCCCGCCGTCTGGCTGCCGATCTTCTCAAAGATGAGGTGGCGCGAGTGGCTCCGAGTGGGATTTCTGTAGTTGATCTAGATGGAAGCGAACTGGAAGAGTACGCCGTAATCAGAAAAAGTGACTTCACGACACTTTATCTGTCAAGGTTAGGTTAGGTTGTAATCTTTTCATTTTGAACTTGTGAACTTTGTCATTTTTGATTTCAGAGAATTGGCATGCGTTTTGGATCGTGATGATCTTTTTCATGCCGACCGATATCTTTACGTTGTCGATCGAGCGCAGCGGAAACACTTTGAAGCTCTGCGGCTAATTCTGAAGCGAATTGGGAAGGAAGATCTGGCAGAGAAGATTGAGCATGTGCCGTATGGAAGGGTGAAAGGGCTGTCAACAAGGTGTGAACATTTTTCATTTGCTTTGCCTGCTTGTGTCCAAAATTTTTGAATTTCGGTTTCAGATTGGGTCGCACCGAAGCTGTGGGTGACATCATTGATAAAGGTGCTGAACTAGCGCTCAAATTCATGCAAAGCTCGCCAACTATCAAAATACCTCCGGAGAAGGAAGAAGAAGTACACTCTTAAAATGTGTCTAAGATTCCTAAACGATCATTGTAGGTTTCACGGCAACTTTCGATATCAACAGTAGTTTTCAACGATTTGAAGCGAGCAAAATCGGCGGAATATGAGTTCTCATTTACGAATGCTTTTGATCTCAACCATAATAACGCACTCTCATTACAGGTACATTCGTTTTTCAAATGAGTTTGAATGTTACTCTCACAATTAGTTCAGGTCAGACATAGCCGTTTATGTTCAATAGAGGCAAATAATGCTGAATTGGTTCCATTGCTTGATGACTGCAACGGAGTACTCGTCGAAACACTCGAGGCCATGAAATTAGCCGAACAGCTTTCTCAGTTTCCAGAGGTACCTCTTTCAGTTTTGTCTTGAATGTTCTTGTGCTCATCACAAATGAACTTATGTAAGGTTTATGACTATTTTAAGGTGTTAGTTAGAAGCGCTAACTATGCGGAGCCCTGTCAACTCATCGTGTACCTCATCGAACTGTCTCATTACATTGGGCAAGTCATTTCCCAGGCAAAAATCAAGGGACAACCTACAGATGTGAGTCTTTCCTACATTGTTTTTAGGGCGCTGTTCCAGTATACCCACCCCAAAAATTAAAAATCTCGGATTTCGCTCAAACTCGGTATAGGGGGATTATTCGATCCGCTGATGCCAAATATCATATCGATTCCGTGCGACAGCGCCATTTTCCGGGGGTGACGGTGGGTATACGGTAGGAGGTCTAAATCACAAAATTCTCTGAAACTCGGTAAGAGGGGGTTATCTGACATGCTGAACACGAATACGATATTCATTCGTTACGGTAGCTCCTCATTCCGGGGTTATGGTGGGTATACGGTAAGGGATCAAAATCACGATATCCGCTGAACTTCGTGTAGGGGGGTTATTTGACATGCTGATCACGATTATGATGTTTATTAGTTACGATAGTGCCTCATTCCGATGTTACGTTGGATATACATTACCAATACCACCGCTAGATCGAGATTCAGGGCTTGAAATCTCAGTCACACGTCGGAAATTTCCTCCCCCTGCTTTGCTTAGGCAAAAGCCGCCGCAGAGTGTATCGCGCGCGGCGGTGGGTGTGGAAAGCCGTGAATTAGACCCTCCTACAATATACCCCCGCCGTAACCCCGGAATGAGGTGCTACCGTAACGAATGGATATCATATTCGGCATCAGCGGATCGAAGACCCCCCCCCCCCTATACCGAGTTTGAGCGAAATCCGAGATTTTTAATTTTTGGGGTCGGTATACTGGAATAGTACCGTTTTTAGTTTTTGGATGATATTCCTTTATACGCATTAGTTCATTGTTTATGTGCAGCTGAAAACTTGACAGTGGTAATCATGTTGTTGCATAGTTTACACTTAAGTCTCGTAGGTCGAAAGTTTTTGGCATCACCCAAAATCTATTTAACTTCTACAATCGGTGACTGGTGATCGCCCGTATCACCCGAAATTGAACGCCTCCGAGTCTGCCTGGCGCGCGGCTGCAGACGTGGCCTGCTGGCACATTCACATTCTGTCTGTCCGGATCAAGCCTAAAGTAGTATGATGCGCTTCCGGATTGCTATGATTTTGCCCCCATGCCCCCTCCTCGTTGCAGGTAGTCGTGGGGACTGCTTACTTCTCATTTCTTCCTCTCTGACATTATGCGCGCATATGCGGTCCAAATCCTTTCAATGGCGAACGCGCACTTTCAAACCAACGTTTCGGTCTGATCCCGACTGCGGCTTTAACTTTATAACAGCGCAGACATCGCCGAATCAGTGGTAAGGGAACGGCCGTAGGTTGTCGGTGTTGTCGATGTTGTCGGTGTTGTCGGGGTTGTCGGGGTCAGAGACGGTTTAGAGAGCGCGCGAAAAGTGGAGTCTATCATGAGGTCCTACAACGACCGGCAATATCGGCAACACCGACAACCGCGACAACACCGACAACCCCGACAACACCGACAACACCAACAACACCAACAACACCGACAACATCGACAACCTATGGCCGTTCCCTAAACGTAGCACGCAGGCTATTGCTGCAACCCCACCAGGCTCGCTACCGTGCGTTCATTTTTGAGGGTCCTAGGTCACCATGGCCTTCTCCAAATGATATACGGAAAAACTTGTCTCAAAACTCTGATCATAAGATTATGGTCGCTATCCGTAAGCTGTCATTTGAAGGAACTGGAGAAAATTTCTCGATGACAGTGTTGCAACTCTGTGGAGAGTTACAGTTTCGACATTTTTCTCCTTTTTATATACCAATGGTCACCTCTGCTTCGCAGAGGTTCGCACTGACTCTACTATTCATGTGTCTTCATCGTGATCGCATGATGATGACTTTGAAACTTACCGCGGGAATCGTCACAAATGAATTGTAAACAACTGTTTTTTAAGCTTTTCCATGTAAGATTGGTAATTTTGGGAGAAAAGATTTTTCCGCAGAAGAACAAATGCGATTTTGAATGGGGTACTGGGATTATTTGGCTTTATAGTCGCCATGAGGATAACAATCACCTGGGGCTACATCTCTCTTCAGAAATCCTTTCCATTTTCAAGGTAAAAATTTGGCGAATTGATAATTTGCGCAGCTACACCTTTTTGGCACCGTTTTTGTTTGATAATAGACTTTCTGCTTACTTTTTGGGCTAAAGTCAATGTTTTTCAAATTTACTTGTTGAACAAATCCACCACTTTGCGAAAAGTCCAATTGCCGACCCATTTTGGCAAGCCAAAAGTCGCGCGGATCCGTTTGACGCACTCTTTAAAGGTTCCAATTTCTGGGTCGGCTTGTGCTTTTGCACAGTTTACCTACACGCTGATTGGGGGCCTTGGCTGCAACTCGTCTTATGAAATTCGTGACATACAGATATTCAGACAGACAAACATACGTAAACATCCTTAGCCCGTTATTATTGAGTCACAGTTGAATTCAGAAGTTTAGTCGAAATACAATGATATCGAGTCACTGATTTTTCGGTAGCGTCAGATATTTTTGCTAATACTAACGATTTGGCTACCACTCGAATTTTGTTGAAAAAAATTGCATAAGATCTTTCAGACAGCGGCGGTCCCAGGACTTCCGCTCGGGAAGGAGAGGTGGGGATAGCGGGGGAGAATAAAAATGATTTTTGAATGAAGGTGCATGGCTCTAGTCAACACTAAAAAATTTTTTTGGGATGCTTCAAAATTTTGGGGCCCACCATAACCCCGAATCTCAAAAGAGGGGCGTGGCTCAGCCACGTCTTGAAAATTGTTTTTCAAAAGGCTAATTTGAATTTAAAAAAAGACTCAAAAGTTATTTTAATTATCACAAGTATGAACAAGTCACTTGCAAATCTTTATAACCCATGTAAGTGACTTTTATAAATATTAAGACCCATTCTCGAAGGCGCTAGCCCCCCCCCCCCCTCTCCCTCCCCACCCTCAGTTCGCCACTGCCAGATACTATTTATTTATTCGCGTCAAGTGTATCTATGATCTATACAAAAAAGCTCTAGCTATTCCTGCATTTTTTGCACATAGTTTAGTAAATCGGATTTAATCCGGATAAGAGTGTCCTGTCCGAGCTCGAGTGCTGCACTTCAAGGAATAACGTACGATGGAGTCGTTGACGGTACGGACTGTCCGCTTGGAAGCACGCACCACGCGGTCTAAAGTCAGCATCAGTATGAATCGCATTTAGCTGAGTTTTCACGACAGCATGACTTGCAGTAGCGATTTGTACTAGTACAAGCGTTTGGCCGCGTGATGCGTGCTGCGCAATCCACGGCCGGTCACTGCGGTCCACAACTGGGCAATAAGTGATGAGATTTGACTAACTATCAACTGTACACCTTCATCTCGCAGATTCTGAGACACTTTCAATGCATCCTGTCTATTTAGGTAGCTGTGCCTAGACTGCTACTACTGTCGGCCAGTCGGGCCGTATTGAAAGAAGGTATCAGCCTTCTGGGTGCTCAGCCAGTAGAGAGCATGTGATGGTGCGCCCTAGAAGGCTGCGACGAATCGTTTTCAGCAGGAGCACGTTGTCTTTCTAGGATTTCTTCAGTATAGAACATAGAAATTTCATTTCGCAATAATAAAGTATTACTTATCCAATCTTAGTTTTCTCCTAACTATTGAGGTTGACTGTTCTCATTCGATTTAATATCTCACAAGTAATCAATTAGGGTAGGGTGCTTCAGTAGTTCATGTATAGTTGTTAGAATGCTATTGATCAATAATGTAAGTCTTTCCCGGTTTAATTTCGGTGTTTATACTTGTGATAATCTCTATTAATTCACTATGCAGTTGTTTATCTTCTACAGTCTGCTTTATCTGTGCTGTTAAATACGTGTGAAAATGAATCAAAGAGTAGCAATGCAGTTGTTATCGTTGAATGTGTTTTTGATATCAAATTTAGGGTACTAGGTATTGCCTCAAAGTAAATTATTTTTCTATTTGTTGTGATTGTTTTCACTGTGCAGTTCTTCAGATGTAATAAAGTTATCGTATGTTTATGAATCATATTAATAGGGGTGAGGTTGGAGAAAAGGGGTAGGGGAGTCAAATGGAGAAGTAAGAAAAGTTGGCATTTGACATCATTGACAAAGTAGACTCATAATTAGTCTGAAGTTATTTTGCTCGAGTAAAATGTACATGATTTGAAATTTGTACTTTTTATAATTTCCCTCATAAATCTGGCTGCAGCACCGCTTCACAACGTTCAACGGCAGTGAATTTATGCTGCTTCGCGACACCGATGTCCAGTGGTTGAATAACAGTCGGCCCTTTCTGAAATAAGAGTTCTTGAGTACCCTCAGCGTACTACTACGAAACATTAGTGTGTACCATAGGTGCGATAGTGTCAGAATTTGCTCACCCCTCTTCACCCCTAAACTTGGACCAAGGTGACCCCCTTCACCTAAAGCCGAGAAGAAAAATCAACAGGGAGGTAAGGCTAAGCAAAGGAGATATTTGTACGGGAATTGTTTGTGTACTGGAAAGGAAGAAGATTTATAGAGATTCACGAACTTCCACAAGGAAAAAAATAGTAGCTTCTATAGTTGCACAGCAACGTCAGCGAGGAAAGCCCCGTGGAACAACGTTCCCTTTTGGTTTCAGAGAATAAATAGTTCGAGAGTCCATTCATAGGAGTACCTAGTGAAAGGCGTGCCTAGTGATTTCGACAATTACGAGTCAGGGCTCGGCACGAGGTGGCTAGATGAAAGTGGAAAAAACGAAGTCCCCCTTGACTTTTGGGAATTTTTACGAAGTCCCCTTTGACCCTCAACCAAATTTCCTCTAAAAACCTGAAAAATTCCCCAAAATCCCCCAAAAAACGAAACGTCGACTAAAAAAAAAAGGTCGCCGTCGCCAATTTTCCGTGTCTCTTCGGTCACAAAAACGAAACCCCCTTTGCTTTTCGTCCCAAAAAACGATACCAGCTGGCTTACAAGCCACCTGTGCCGAGCCGTGTTACGAGTTTTCAACACAAAAATTCCTAACTTTGAGATGAACATCTTGTACGCCGAGATAGTCACCATTGGAACCGTCTCATCCTCCGCTCAGAAAATATATACTTTGCCCTAGGGTCCATTAAAAAGTGCCGGGTGAAGGGTGGGTAAGACTTTCATATTGGGAGTGCTCAAGTGGAGGCTTTTTACCATTGCGCGAAGACGTCTATTTGGGCACTCCCCACTATAAAAGTTTCACCCACCCTTCACCCGGCGCTTTGTTCAACGGATCCTAGGCAAAGTATATATTTTCTGAAATCGGAGGACGAGAATGTTCCAAATTTGACTATCTTGGCGTACAAGATGTTTATCTACACAAGTTATGAATTGTTTTATGTTAAAAACTCGAAAATCTCCAAAAATCACTAGGCACATCCTTCACCCAGGCACTTTTTTGAACGGATCTCAGACATGCTATATATTTTCTGAAAGCGGAGGGCGAGAGGGTTCCAATGGTGACCATCTCGGCGTGCAAGATTTGTTCATCTACAAAAGTTATAAATTTTTTTATGCTAAAAGTTCGTAAATATTTGGAAATCACTACCCACTAGCTTCGCCAGGTACTTTTTTGAAATGATTCCAGACAAACCCCAGACGAACTATATAATTTCTGAAAGCGGAAGAAAAGATGGTTCTGAAAACATTTTTCTTGCTGACGTTGCTGCTCATCTACAGCAGTTACAAATAAACTTGTGAATGCTCAAAAAGTCTACCTCATTCCTGAAGCCGAAACTGTTCTTGCATACACATCTTCTACTCTATGGTACTTTCGAAAACAGACAGTTTTTGTAGGATTTCCAATCCTACTTTAATCTTCACAAAAAAGGCAGCAGATGATGTTAGTTGAAAATGAGTGATAAAACGTTGATTAGGGAGAATGCTGAGAAAACACCATCACTCTCCTCCCCACCCCCCCCCCCCTCGGTCGACATTTTACAATTTCTCGAATCAAGTGAAACACCCTTTACCCTGAAGAAGCTGCGACCACTGTGACCCCCTTCACCTTGGAGGAGTCATTCTTACCTTATCGCACCTATGGTGGGTACTACTACGAAAAATTAGTGTAAGCAGTGGCAGTGAAAGTCATCTCGTGAAGTTAATGCTCGTACCGTATGTGTTAACTACGCACCCTCTTTTTCATCTGAAGTGAACTTGATTTTAGAGGGTCCGGTCCCGCGCGACTGTCTCGCGTGGACCTTACGTCGCGTTCGCAACGTGTTCTCTGAACATTATCCCACACCTTCTGACAGTGAGTTTATTACCACGCTCAGAGGTGTGAAAATGATTAGACATGTCTGAAGCAGCACAGGGTCCAGGAGAGGCGACCGCGCGAAACCCGAGCCGCTCGAGTTGGGTCCATTTTGAATGAGACAGAGATAACCCTTGGCGTCGAGCTACCCAACCGCAACGGGAGGGCTTTGCGTGCAAACAATCAACATGTGACCCGTAAGGCAGCCACTTATCCGCTCGCTTCATCCCCTTTGCTATTGGTCAGAACACTGATTTGACGAATAACAAAGTGGGTAAAGCGGCTAAGCGGATGTTTGGCGTTTGCCTTAATGCACAAGCTATATGTTCGCGCGACGATTGCAGACACAGGCTTTATTTGGTCCAATAATGCAAAGATACTACAAAAAAGCTTGAAGATCTTGAATTCAAACAATTTTAAAAATCTCTTACCCGTTGTGGTAGACACGCCAGACGAGATGCATCTTCCCACTCAAAGCTTTGATCAGACGGCAACAAGCGGAGAAGTTCGTCTAGCTCGTGCTCTGTCCATCAAAGGACACGTTAATTACCAAGTCACGATTGACAGCAGCCAGGCAATAAGTAACATGCGGGCTTTCATGTGGAAACTGTTTGTGGGACACTGAATAGGCACTGTTTGAGAAACAGAACAAATGAATCACTGAACCGAAAACATCTTTAATCTGCCTCTCGACCTGCATGTTGGCATGAAGCTAGAAGCTTCTGCGCAGAATCATCATGAGGGCGATGGATTTGCGCGAAAGCATGCAATCCGCAAATCTTTACTGGATACGATACTGGGTAGAAATATGGGGATATGTTCTTAGCCGTGGATATCTTATCTTCGCTGCCGCTATATTGTTTTATTTAGGGCCCCACAAGCAGTTTTCATGGAAGGTCAGGGGTTTTGCCCGGACGCTGCCTCTAAGTTATGTACCGATTGCAGCATAATCAATCTTCAAATCCGCTTCCTTATCTATGTTGATAGCTAGATTCTTTATAGTCGGCGGTATCTTGCCCCATTCTTGCTTGGCTAAAATTAGGGCTGAGAAAGTGATGTAGAGTGGGCGGTACGACCTGCTTTCTTCCAAAATGTCTCTTTTCTTGAAGTGAGCTCCTTCAGTGTTCTCGCTTTGGCCCATGGTAGACCAATAGTCAGACTATACATCTGCAAAAAAAGTAGTTGATATAACTTCTTTTTTCTTGAACTGGCTTTAAAAGTTTCATAGATGGAGTAGTACTTGACCTTCTATAATATGCATTATATGCACCCCCCATTTTCTTTCCACGATATAACAACCCTTTTTGGCGGCATTGTTTTTGCCTTTGACAAGAATCTCGCTGCCATTTTTTTCGCATAATTGCCGTGCATTTATGGCAGAATAGACATGCACGTGATATATGTACATTGCAAGTGTAAGAAAAACAACAGAAAAACAGATGCTATCGAAATACCCTGTTTTGGAAGCCATAAAGATTGCAGTTCATAATACGAACACCCTGAATGGTTGCTCAGCGTGTCATATGTCTTCGACTGCCTTTACAAATGTTGTGAATGCAGCTTTACCCGGTCGAAGACGAGAAGAATGAGCATCTCCCGAAATGGGAATGAAAAATAAACAGAGTCTCATAAACAACATAAACATTATGAACACATTCCTACTCTACATAATAATCCCGGCCACAGAAACATTTATCCTCTCACAGACCAAAGGTGAATATCGTCAGCACCGATATAAAATGTATATATAGGTACTATTAGTAGGTATAGATACTTTATACAATAGTAGTGAATAACAGGACCATGATATAAAAACCATTTCGTTCTCGGGTCGCGCAAGTTCCTTTCCTCGCTGTCGTCACAACTTCCTTTAGTTTACAAGTTGTCTTGGTCCAAAGTCTTAAGGCTTATTCGGTCTTCCTTCTTTTGCAGTTCATTTGTGTAGATGAACTGCAAAAGAAGGAGTTCAATTAGCTTTTCAATCGCTACTCTTCAATTGCCTTTGGAGTAGCTTCGTCAGGCTTTCAAAAGGAATCGAGAGATTGATTGGCCGTCCTCTATTGCTGGTTAGTAGCTCTACTTCTCGGATGGCACCATCTAATCCACGTTGAATTCCCTTTATGCGTCCAAGTCTCCATGAATTCCGCGGTTATATTGGATCGCTAGTAAATAATATAGGTCCTACGATAGAAATCTCTTGTCTACTCCTTGGTATGTTCTTCAGGTGTTTTTCTAAGAGACTTTTTGAGTATAGTTATTGCCACACCGTCCAATTGTTCAGTGTTGCAGCCCGATGACCGTCGCTTTATACCCCATATTTTGAGAATTTCGAGACTTTTTAGAATTTCAAGAAACTGTTGGTACTATGTGAAGCATAGCCGAAAACGGTAAACACGGCACAAGAATGAAAAATGTTAATCTTAGGAACGTTTCTGCGCCGAATGCGATTCGATACAGTTTCCTCGGTACATAGTTGTACGAACACCTTATACGAAGCTTCTTTTTTCACTTAAAATGGTCCATTAGCGAGCTTTTTCCTCAAACCTATCACCAAAAAACTGCTAGCTCTGCATGCTAACTGTATGCTTGCTTTATTCAACTCTCGTCATGAGCTGTACACATGTGGAGTACAACCTTTGTCATGTTCTTTTCTTTTATCATAGTAATGTGCCTCAGGGCCTGGCACCAGCTGGCACGGGGCAAGCTGGATGTCGTTTTTGGACAAAAAGCAAAACGGATATCGTTTTTATCGAGAAATTGCGACGTTTTGCTAGTCGACGTTTCGTTTTTGGGGATTTTTAGGTTTAGGTTCTAGAGTCAAGGGGGACTTCGTAGAACTTAGCGAAAATCAAGGGGGACTTCGTTTTGAAAATTCCCTGATGCCAGCTCATTCCGAGCCCTGGTGTGGGCTCGGAAGTCTACTCGACTGTTATAGTTGTTACAATACACAATTGGTAATTCATGATATCTGTTATTTCCCACTTTTGTGACTGTAGTGCATGTTGTGAGATAGAATCCAAAGGAAAAAACAAAAAATATTCTTATGATAGTGTACAGGCCAGTAAATCCTGCGGAAGCTCCTAGCATGAGGAAACTTTTCGAAAGTCTCAAATGGGGAACTTCCCGAAGACGATAGCGTTACTTCCGCGCGATCCTCCGGAGATTCCTCCAAAGCCTTCTGGAAGTTTCCGTGAATTGTCTGAGCAACGAGCGTTTGAAGAGATGCTGAGGAAAGTCTGATCTTTGCAACCTGCCTCATCAATCTCTTCTCAACGAGCAGGTCATACGCGATTTTTTGCTATAGTTGTGTTTGTTCAACTCACGAAATTTATGTACATCTCCATATCATGTTTTGGCTTCGCTCTTTCACCTTTATGTATGCCTCGTGCTGTGTACTGATCGAGTGGATAACCTATTGCTTCGTTGTCATCGGTCCTATAAAATTACGACTTATTTTGTGAAATATGAAACTTAAACATGTGTGACTGAACAAAAGAACAGTATCCCAGTAATTTTCAGAGGCAGTGCCTAAGCGAATGCGAACATTTAGGTTGTAAAGTGACTCTGTATTGAGAGCAACTAATTGCTATAGAGGTCCAAGATGATCCACACCTAAGCGAGAAGTAGAATTCAACACTAAGCTCAGACTGCTAATGCCTAGTGTACATTCACGTCCTCGAGCATCATACGCTGGCTGATATTTGGTAGAACTAATTGGGTGGCACATCGATTTATTAGAGAACCAGTGCGTCACCTCTGCTTCGCAGAGGCTCGACTGGTCCTACTGTCTGTATGCCTTACTCACTCTCGCAATAAGTCCATTGAAACTCACCGAGCTATGCAGGCTATCACGAAAATGGAAACTTGAATTGGTTTCTGATTTTTTTATGGCTTGGTAGTCGCCTTGAGGACAATAACCAACGTGGGCTACATCTTTGTGCAAAAATCTCTACAAATGATCAAGCAAAATCTTGGCGAATTGAGTATTTACTCAGCCAATTTTTTGGCGCCGTTTTCGTAAAGTAATAACTCTTTGTTTACTTTCTTGGGCTGGAGTCTATGGCTTGCACATTAACACGTTGACGACCTTGTGTACCCGCATGTATGCACGCCCTGACTCCCATTTAGCCTTTTTGTGCATCCGCGCATATGCACGCTAGTTTTTTAGATGCAAACGAAAATTTTAAGATAACTTCTATGCAGTAATACTACTAGTGGCCTGATTGTCTTACAGAATACAGGGCATCGCGGCAGCTGTTCAGAAGTTTTGGCCGCAAAATTGGGTAATCAGTCCGTTTTTGATGTAGTCAATATATGCAAATTACGTTTTTCCGAGAAGATGAAAACTCTGTAAAGCTGTTTTGAAATCAAACAAGGATGAATCAGGCAAAAAACACCTGGTATTACAAACGCTTTTCTCGAGGAGGGGTTATTCAGAATAGCATTGCATGGTTTATTGAAGGGAAAATCGATGCAAAAACCTTGATTTGTGTAAGTCCTGGTAAGGCTCTGTGATATACCTGTATGTCTGAACAAAGTTCGCATATTTTATGAATAAGTGTCAAAAAGAGTCCCACATAATGTTTTCGTGCATCCGCACGTATGCACGGGCCAAATGCGCGAAGGATGTTAGTGGAAGTCTCGCCCAAGATGGCGCGGTCGTCAATGTATTAACTTGCCAAGCATATCCATGACTTTGCAAAAAGTGGTGCAGTTTTGCTGGTCAGAAACCAAATGGACACATTTGACGAGCAGTTTTTAAGGGATCCCCTCAATAGATTTGCTCGCGCTTGTGCATATTAAACTTTCATGCTGCTAGCATACGTCACGCAAAATTTGGGCTCAGGACGTTTTCTGAAACATGCTTTACGAATTTCGTAAAACACACACACACACAACGTGAACAACCCTTAGCCCGTTATTATAAGTCATGATATTGACGGACACAATCACGGAGATAGTGACGGCTCTGGAACTTGGCATCCAATCTTCTACACACTAAAACTGGGCGTGTATTATGGGTGCCAGCAGCAATGCTACCAATGCAGTGTGATTCCGCCTACTCGAAAGTAAGTACCTCCGAGTTATCAAGGACCACGAGGGTGGCCCGGCGGCTAAATAGGTGCATGGACAATCTACAAGTTGTCCGTGGCAGAAGGAATACATAACATATGCAAATATCTGTACATATATAAAACTCAAAGTTTGTGTGTAAATTGCTAAAGATGTTTGTGTTTTATAGAAATCTTAATGAATAGACCGTTTGAGCTGAATTTTGCTCCCATATAGATAAGCCACGGCACAGGTCATAGGCTACTTTTCGCGGCAATTCGTTGGGTCCTTCTATCGATTTATTGATTTTGTTTACTAAAATCTAGGGAAATGAAAGCTATATGATTCATTTCTTCAAGTTAAGTAGTAAGGGGTGGTAGAGATCATTTACATCTTGCGGTGAGGAGCATGCGGTGTCACGAAGCGAGCCGGTCAAGAAGGAAGACAAATTCACTACGGATACTACACGAGTGGTGGAACTGACTCGGAGCTGGAACAGGAGAGGAACAGAAAATATGAACTGAAGGAAGTGGAGGAATGGTAAGCATACATCTTCAAGCACACACCATGCTAGGCCATTTACCCTCGGCCCGGGCAGGACCGGGGACGGCATGTTTGTCTGTACGTAGGTTCCGAAAAGAAATTTTCATTTCTGAACCGATCCGGACCAAACTTGGCACACATACACTTCGGAGCACGGCGGGTGATAGGCTGCTCTTCATTATCGATCGATATCGATTTTATCGGTTGTTACTGAATTTTTGCAAAGTTAATATACGGGGCTGGGAGTCGGCACAGGGGGTAATCGAGCATGCTGATTACGACAATATCAATTTTTCAGAAATATCTGCATCTTTCATCGATTTTATCCACTTTTCTGCTGAGCTGATCTCCGGGGCCGAAAATCACAGGGGGTAAGTCCGGAGCACAGGTGCGATAAGGTGAGGATGACTCCTCCAGGGTGAAGGGGGTCACAGTGGTCGCCGCCCCTCCAGGGCGAAGGGTGTTTCACTCGGTAGAGAAATTATAAAATGTCGACGGGGGGGGGGAAGCCATGGTGTTTTCTCATCATTTTTCCTAGTCAAAGTTCATACTTCACTCCTACCATCAGTGATTATCTTTTTTCAGAAATGTGAACCGATGCGCTGCTAGATTAACATACAATTATATTTCTGACCAGCACCTTGTATTTTTTAACATTTCCTTTTTCTTTTTACATCACCCTGCCTGTTTTTGGAATTACCATAGAAGATGTGCATGCGAGAACATTTGTTTCGGAAAGAGTTAAACAATTTTTAAACAACGAGTATTTTTGAAAGAGAAATTCGTAATTTCTGTAGATGGATGAACAGCAACGCGTTAGCAAGGGAATTGTTTTTAAAACCACATTATCTTCCGCTTCTAGAGAATATATAGTTTGCCTAGAGTCTGTTGAAAAAGTGCCTGGTGAAGAGTGTGAGTAATGATTTCTGAATATTTACGAGTTTTTGAGATAGAAAAATCCGTATCTTCTGATGAACATCTTGTACGCCGTGACGGTCACCATTGGAACCGTCTTGTTCTCCGCCAGAAAATATATACATTGCCTGGGGTCTGTTGAAACAAGTGCCGAGTGAAGGGTGGGTGAGACTTTTATAATGGGAGTGCTCAAGTAGACGTCTTTTCACATTGGTAAAAAAGTCTCCATTTGAGCGCTCCCATTATAAAAGTTTCACCCACCCTTCACCTGACACTTTTTTTAACGGACCCAGGCAAAGTATAATTTACTGAAAGCGGAGACAAGAGGTTTCAATGGTGACCATCTCGGCGTACAAGATGTGTTCATCTACAAAAGTTATGAATTTTTTTTATGTTAAAAACTCGAAAATCTTTCAGGAGTAGACTGAGAAGGCTTGACTTGTCAGGTATCGCTAACACTGATTAGTGTTGCATGACAGAGCGAGCCTTCTGCATTAGACCTTTTGGGCTTCCATTGGGTGCTTTGGACGTGCTATGATGGCAGATGGAATCGCTTTGGGCTTTGTTTTCTATCACCTTTCTTCTCCATTTTACCTCTAAAACCTGTCTTTTCAGGTGCTCGGTGATCTTGCATTGACTTGCGGGTTCAGTTATGGCTGTAAATTATCTCTTTGACGCCTCTCGTGTATCTCCTCACGTTGCGTCAAACTTTTATTTTTGGTGTACTCGTTTTGTTCTAGTTACTAACACAGTTTCCTCAGCATCTCAGTCCGAGTCTTTTTCGTTCAGCTATCTAGTAGTCAATCGTACTGCTTGCTATTTCGACAAATGGATTCAATGAGAATCGTTTCACCTTTGGGGTCATTGGGCCTCCCCAGCATTCCGGCTAGGTTGGGTTATGGTTATTATACCTGAGCCAGTAGACCTGCCTTATAAGCCGCCGGATTGCTTTTAAGAGTAACTAAAGATCGTTCCGCTGGCAACGAGGGGGCATGGGTCCCATCTCCATGGATTCAAAGTTTTGGAGTTATAAATCTCATGCCTACATCTGCATACTTATTTATTAGCCTACCAACATATTCAGTGCAAGCTGTTTTATCTTTTCATATTAGTCTGATTAGGATCAGACTTGGACTGACATGATGATGTCTGCATTTGTTTACATGTCTTGTTCGTTTCCGCTGTATTACTAACTTCTTGATGTGTCTTTTTTTATGGAACGCCTTGAGCGTACAAATGAAATGAAATGAAATGAAATGAAAAATCTCCAGAAATCGCTAAGACACCTTTCACCCAGGCACTTTTTTTAACGGGCCCAGGCAATGTATACAGTTGCAGCGGTAGAATTTGTCCAAAACTGCGGGATCGTCGGGATTCGCGGAATTGTCGGGATTCGCGGGATTCGCGGGATTCGCGACTTCACGGGAATCGCGGGACTCGCGGGATTTGCGGGATACGCGGGTTTTAGCTGTAACTTCTTTTAAATCCACTTTATTTGCAATCTGCGTATAGATTTGGCTTCGGCTTGATGAGACGAATCGTTTCATATACAGTATGTATATAACGTGGTGAGGGGGTAGACTTACAATGATACCTTGCTGTTTTCTATGTTAAGGCTTTTGTGAACAGTTATCACAGCGTTGATCGCGAATAGCAGGTTTTGGTACAAAGTTCTCATTATCGAAAACTATCGCGAAAAATTGGGCAGTTTTTATCTACCCTTATCACTGATATAAGCATTTTATCATTTATCACTGATAATATCACATTTTTGGATCATTTTTTGCATATGGTAAGAAAAGTACTGTAGGAAGCGCTATGTGAATTTCTATCGCTCTTTCTCCATTATAAGTGATGTACAGGCTTTTCTATTTTTACTACTCGGTGCAATTGGTAGATCCCTCGCTGCAGCAATCGATCGATTTCTCATCGGCACATGCCATTGCTGCCAATTCTTACCTAGAATGGCATTTTTGCTTCAACTCGCTTCACGCCGCAGCCTGGGCTGAAATTCTGCACCTATATGGAAGATGAACGTGGGAATCGACCGCATGAATTTGAGCCGCTCTTATCTTGTCACTGATATCATCATTTTATCATTTATCACTGACGATATCACAAAATTGGATCATTTTTGACTTACAATAAGAAATGTATTTTAGAAAACGCTGTGCGAGTTTTTATCGCTCTCTTATAATACAAAACCACTCACAGAACATGCAATTCCGGGAATTCTGCGAAATTCATTCCGCGAAATTCATGTGAATCACGCAAATTACGCAGGGCCATAACTTCTTTTCGAATGAGTATATTTAAAATCCGAAAACAACATTGTATTCAGCTCGTCAACGCAAATCTTTCGATATACAGGTTGTCTCCAATATCTCGTTTTCAATAATCTTGAATTTGCATGCGAACGCCTCTTCGCATGGGTGTAACGCAACGAGCATCACACATAGGAGACTGCGGTGGGCACCGTTCGATAGTACTCTTCCACTAGATTATCCTGCGCTAAACAGCGGCCGATGACTCTTTTCTAAAAGAGATAGAAGAGCTGATAAGCTTTGGAAAAATCAAGCTGTTTCAAGTTCTACTAGCCGTAACTTCTTCAGAATGAACATCTTCGAAATCCGAAAACAGTATTGTGTTCAGCTCGTTAAGGCGAATCTTCCGATATACAGCATGTCCTTGAAATTCCGTTTCCAATTTTTTCAAAATTTTGCGCGCGTATATTCACAAGGTCGCAACGCAGCGCACATCAAACATAAAAGACTCTATTAAGCACTATTGGATTGTGCTGCTTCCGCAGATTATCGAGCGCTAAGAAGCAACCGGAGGATCTTCTTGAAAAAAGATAGAAGAGCTGGTGAATTCTGGAAAATCGTGTTGTCTCAATTTTTGCCCACAGTGACCCTAAAATGAGAAACTCTACTGCTAAGCAGATGTGATTAGCTGATCTGTGATCAGCTCTTCTATCTCTTTTGAAAGAGAGTCTTCGGCTGCTGTTTAGCGCACGATAATCTAGTGAAAGAGTACTATCGAACGGTTGCCCATGGCAGTCTCCTATGTGTGATGCTTGTTGCGTAACACCCATGCGAAGAGGCGTCGGCATGCAAATTCAAGATTATTGAAAACAAGATATTGGAGACAACCCGTATACCAAAGGATTCGCCTTGACGAGCTGAATACAACGTTGTTTTCGGATTCTAAATATACTCATTCGAAAAGAAGTTATGGCCCTGCGTAATTTGCGTGATTCACATGAATTTCGCGGAATGAATTTCGCAGAATTCCCGGAATTGCATGTTCTGTGAGTGGTTTTGTACTATAAGAGAGCGATAAAAACTCGCACAGCGTTTTCTAAAATACATTTCTTATTGTAAGTCAAAAATGATCCAATTTTGTGATATCGTCAGTGATAAATGATAAAATGATGATATCAGTGACAAGATAAGAGCGGCTCAAATTCATGCGGTCGATTCCCACGTTCATCTTCCATATAGGTGCAGAATTTCAGCCCAGGCTGCGGCGTGAAGCGAGTTGAAGCAAAAATGCCATTCTAGGTAAGAATTGGCAGCAATGGCATGTGCCGATGAGAAATCGATCGATTGCTGCAGCGAGGGATCTACCAATTGCACCGAGTAGTAGAAATAGAAAAGCCTGTACATCACTTTTAGTGGAGAAAGAGCGATAGAAATCCACATAGCGCTTCCTACAGTACTTTTCTTACCATATGCAAAAAATGATCCAAAAATGTGATATTATCAGTGATAAATGATAAAATGCTTATATCAGTGATAAGGGTAGATAAAAACTGCCCAATTTCTCGCGATAATTTTCGATAATGAGAACTTTGTACCAAAACCTGCTATTCGCGATCAACGCTGTGATAACTGTTCACAAAAGCCTTAACATAGAAAACAGCAAGGTATCATTGTAAGTCTACCCCTCACCACGAATTATATACATACTGTATATGAAACGATTCGTCTCATCAAGCCGAAGCCAAATCTATACGCAGATTGCAAATAAAGTGGATTTAAAAGAAGTTACAGCTAAAACCCGCGTATCCCGAAAATCCCGCGAATCCCGCGATTCCCGTGAAGTCGCGAATCCCGCGAATCCCGCGAATCCCGACAATCCCGCGAATCCCGACGATCCCGCAGTTTTGGACAAATTCTACCGCTGCAACTGTATATTTTCTGAAAGCGGAGGACGAGACGGTTTCAGTGGTGACCATCTCGCCGTAAGGATGTTCATCTACAAAATTTATAAATTTTTTTACGTTATAAACTCGAAAAATCCTAAAAATCACTAAGCACACCCGTCACCAAGCACTTTTTTCAACAGACTCCTCCATTCCTGTACATAAACAATTCACGTACAAATATCTCCCTTGCTTAATCTTACCTCACTCTTGATTTTTTTCTCGGCTTTTGGTGAAGGGGGTCACCTTGGTCCCGCCTCAGGGGTGAAGAGGGGGTGAGAAAATTCTCACACTATCGCACCTTTGGTCGAGAGGCATGCTGACTGCGAAAACAATACGGACGATAGGGAATCGGCAAGTAAAAGTGGGCACAGGGAAAGGTTTGTACGGGATGAGGGATAGTGACCTTTGACATAGTGTTATGACAGGGCCGGGCGGAGCCGGGTATGCCAGTTAGTTATAGAATAAAGTCCGTTATTACCTGTTATTATCGACAAGAATGTCTGTTTGTCAAGGAAAACTTTGGTACGCCACTGCTCTGTAGGCATGTTCTATGTGCAAAATAAAACATCCTATCTTTGAACCAACGCAGATCAAACTTTGCACACCACCTCGGGCAGGGGCTGCGGCTCCTACTTTCATCTAGGCGTAATTCACCTTGCGTATATATATATATATATACAGGGTGTCAAAAAAATGTTAACACTGTTTATCGTTAATAACTCCCTTGCTTTCAAGTCTTTCGCCGAGTTTTAGGTACTATTTTGTAGAGCGAGGATAAACTTAGATTTACAGTATCGAGCGAATCATCTAACTCTCCTCGTTACTGTAGAATTACGGTAGGAAATTTGACAAGGATTTTAGGCAACTAAAGCCCATTTTCTGCTTCGAAACAGAGCCAAACAAGCTGAAATCTCTTTTACTATGGTGATGAAAGCCGCTGATTTCGGATATGAAACTTTCACTTCATTATGATACTTCTTTTCAAATTTATTCTAATCAAAGTGTAATAACTGACTTCCCAGCATGTGTCAAAAATGTGATTACACCGTCAAAAAAGCTGAAAACACTCGTAAAAAGTTGTGTAGCAAAACCAGCGTGCGCGAAAATCATAGTACACGATTTTTCAGATTTTTTGAATAAAATTATGTCAGAGGGCTTATATCACAACGGTTCCACATGCTAGAATTTCCTACCGCAATTCTACAGTAACGAGGAGCGTTGGATGACTCGCTCGATACTGTGAATCTAAGTTTATCCTCGCTCTACAAAATAGTTCCTAAAGCTCGGCGAAAGACTTGAAAGCAAGGGAGTTATTAACGATCAAACACTGTTAACATTTTTTTGGGACACCCTGTATATATATATATATATATATATATATATATTTGGGAAGCAGTGATATATATATATATATATATATATATATATATCACTGCTTCCCAGAAGTTGGCATTCAGGCTATACACGCTTTACTTGGCTGTGTAAAAGAGCCTCTATGCCAAGTCCCGGAGTCGTCATTATCGCCGTGTTCGTGTCCCTAATGAATCGTGTGCCACTCAATTAGTCCTACTCCTACATTGACACATCGGCCAACGAATCGTTTCTTCGGTGCAGCCCACCGAATTTCAATAAAAAGTGCCGCTTGGCATGCTACTAAAGCCGATATTCGACATCGGTGATTGTTGGTTCGCCACTCTCACGAACAAGAGCCTTACTGAGCTGTCAGGTCATATCTACAGCTTCGTAGAGGTTTTTAGCTAACTAACTGGTTCACCACGGTTAGCAACGGATTCCTAGCACCGCTTACTAATTAGCCATGTTCGAAACAAGTAACTGCTGTCGCACCACTTTTACTAAGTCGCTAACAGGCCCTATCCAACTCAGGTCTTGCTAAGCTAACAAGTCCTATCCATAGTTTAGCAGAGGTTTTTGAACTAACTGGCTGGTTTACCACAGTTAATACAAGAACTTCTCGAAACATTTGGCTTGCAAAAGTCAAAAAGACTTTGTGATTGCTGGTTCACCACGTTCACATAAAGAGTTAATTTGCTAGGCAGTCGGGTCCGATCCACAGCTTAACCACAGATATCTGGCACAATGCCAGCGCTGTACTCGGCTGCCAGCGCTGCCACAATGGAATGCTATGGCCTACCGCTTGAAACAGGCTGTAATCAACCTGCTTTCAACTCAAAATATTCAATTGTAAATCATTCAGTGAAAGTGATGAGGAAAGTAGTGATTCTATTTTTAATACATAAAACGAAACAAGCTATGTTTTAATGAAAATTTCATTTCGCTTACTTTTGAGGATGTTCTGAACTGAATTGGAAGCCAAACAGGCGTATAATATCTCTTTCTTGTGGTCCACCCACTAAGATTGCCGATGGACGAATGTTACCATGTACAAGACCAATTTCATGCACTGTCTTCATGGCGCTGATTAAGTATCGACAGACACGAAATGTTGACGTTGGGCTGAATTATCCACCAATTAAAATTATTCTTTCGCATCACGAATCGCATACCTAAGCTGACCAAATTTAAGCAACTGTCTTTGTAATGTTTCTCCTACATGATCAGTTATAAAGAACCTCAACTGTAGAGGGTAAATACCTTGAAAACGAAAATTGAACTTCTTACGATATTTCCTCTGTTTTTCCAGAGCCATATATGTGTGGTAAGTATTTGTTATCAATCTTCTTTGTGTTAAACATTTGCAGTGCTTTTAATTCCCTCTGCAGTCAACTTGGAAATGCGCCCTGTTGCTTGTGAAATCATACCTCAAAATCTCCCGGATACTGCTTTTTGGTGATTTTGTTTGCTTGAATCTTTGCACAAAGTAGTTTTCCATCATCACTTTTCTCCACTCTCATAAGCACACCATGTGAGGCTAAGAGTATAATATCCATAACCGAGTATCTAGAATTGTCACACTGAAACAATATCGAGGGGGGGGGGGAAAGAGGCAAAAGTTTTTTCAAATGGAGATCGCCAGCCACGCACTCCGAAAAATTTTTGCGATGCTTCTCAAAATTTTGGGTCCTTAACCCTTAATCTAGAAAAGTAGGCGCGGCGGGAGCCACATCCTTGAAATTTTTTTTGCAAGGCTGACTCGAAGTTTAAAAAGTTTTGAAAATTCTTTCAATTATTACAAGAGTAATCAAGTCGCTTGCACTTTTGCATAGCCCATGTAAGTAAATTTCAAAAATTTCGCGAACCATTCTCGATGTATAATTCAATGTCTAACGAGGATGGATGTCCATGTGGGATAAACGCACATAGGGGCGGTGCAAGAGCGGTAACTTTTTGAAGGTTAGAACTACACATGCTCAGCGATAATCTGTGCTTGAAAGCCACGTGCATGTTTTTCGTACTTCAAACTGCCACTTCTTAGGATTACATTAGAATGCGTTAATCTTTCTTGATGTGAAAACCAGTCCAAGAAATTCCGAGGCGGGCAGCTTTTTTTGTGAGTGAAGGGAACGTGTATAGCCGCGATCCCCGAAAAGTTTTGTAATTCTCTTGAGTTTTAGCGTGCTCATAACTCTCGAATATTTAAAGAAGGAGACATGACAAAAGCCGCTCTGAAAAGTTTTTCTTTGCAAGGTTTGATTTTGCGTAATTGAGAATTATTTCACAAATAAAACAGAACCCTTTTGACACTTATGTAGATGCTTTTTACGACACGCCTCGAATCCACTTCTAATTGAGATAGCCCAGAGAAAAAACCCAAGAACCATATAAAATTGGCCTGTATCGCAACGAGAGTTGATTGCCGCAGCTACAAGGCATGGTTGCAACATCGTAAGTGTTGCAACATTGTGACAGCTGCAAACTGATGCGTTTTCAACGCCTGCGGATGGGCACGATTGGGCGTAGCTCTACCCTAGAGATGCATTACAATTTTCGGTGAATGGCACCTGTTCATTAGGGTACGTCTTTTTTACTCGTGGTTTACTCTTTGTTTGCAACTAGCGACTTAGTTGACTGGGCCCGATCTCAAAGTCATTCAACTCTCAGCTCTCAGGAGTGTCTTTCGAAAAACATGTGGCCCTTTTATGAAAACATGCTTCGGCCCTCGTAACGAAATTTTCAGTACTCCAAAATGAATGCGTTGGCAGCAATTCAAGGACAATATATTATACTTCATCATAATTGACCCGTCTGCTGTCCACTCATTTTTCGTGATTCCGAATTTGGGGAGCGGAATGGCAAATAAGTTTCCGTTATATGTTACTTAGTGATCGCTAATTGAGCGGCGATTCATTTAAGATGAGCGCGCTCTAACCGCTGTTAGATTCAGATCATCACGTACAACTTTGAATACAACACTCTAAAACACAGCCTGCAAGGTAGGTGTTCTTTACTTTTTTTTGAATATCATGAATTCTAATAACCGGCTTAGGTGTTCTTCACTTTATTTTATGAATATCATGAGTTCTAATAACCGGCTGTGTTTTTGTGTGTGGTCTCCTCTGTTAAAAAATTCGCAGAGCAAGTTCTAGCCAAGGAATTAAGCTAAATTTTTGGTCGTAGCATCCTTCAGCATGTTGCCTACTATGCAAAACCACAAACCGATCTGTTGATTGGAAGCTTTGAAAATCGTGCGCCAGATGAATCCCTGTGGCTTTTAACTCAGAAGACGATCTGTACTCAAACTTCTTGCAAGATTATTGATTTGTCTAGCATGTGTATCTTCAACCCAATGACTTTTGCATGGAACAATCAAAAACGACACTTTTGGACAAAAGCGGCCTCAGAAAAGAATTATTGCGTGAGTGGTTGATTTCCAAAGGTTGTACTTACAAGGGAAGGATGATCGGTCGAAGTGGCTATTTGGAATGAGCTGTATCATAGGAAACCGTCCTCGGTGAGGCAAACTCAAAACTACTTTCGCTAGTTGCCAAGCGGTTTTGTGAGGAGAGTTACGAGACCATTTTTCTTCAGCGCAGCCGGCGCACCCAGTAATGGGCGAGGCGTTGGGAAGAACTTAAACGTGTGGCAGTGTCGCAGTGGCAAAACAGCGGACTACGAAGCAGATGGTCGATGGTTCGAGTCCTGTTGCTGCTACTTTGTTTTGCAGTTCTGTAAAAAGCCTATTGGGTGACGTAAACGAAAAACACTCATTTCTACGCAGTTTAAACAAGCTATTTACTGCAAAAAAAGCCATTATTTCTACAATAAGCTATAATTTTCTAAAATATGTAAACTGTGGGGTTATGATGTCACAACAATGGATTTCAAGGATATATTGATACGTATGGAATACAACCACAAAATGTCTGGAGCAGAAAGTATCTCTCAGCGCGCGCACTTGCCAAAATGCAATCGATTGCAATCAGAAGCTTCATTACCTATCAAGGCAGGACCATGCAGGTAAAGGCAAGTGCCAAATAGCGCATATAGCAAAAAGCTCCGCTGCCAATTATTACGATGTTCTCGCCACAGCTTGTTGTCTCGCACCTTCCGGAAGAATTCGGGCCGTGTGACATCTCCTGAAAAAAACACAGTTTTGCTCCCCGCAATTCAAAAATTTCCTTTCGTACCCATGGCATGCAGCGGGTGTATGCCAAGATGAACGATAGCTGGAAGTAAGCATACTGTACTTTAGCGGTTGTCAATATGTCGCGCATAAAGTGTTATTTTTCAAAGCGCAGCGTTCTTCAATGGATTGAAAATGGTATCGAACCGTAAGAATTAGGGCATATTGTGCCCCTGACGTTTTTTCCAAATTCTTAAATGTCGTCATAGCGTAGATGTAAAATTTGAAATACAGGGTGTCCCAAAAAATGTGAACACTGTTTGATTGTTAATAACTCCCTTGTTTTCATGTCTTTCTCCGAGCTTGAGGCACCATTCTATAGAGCGAGGTTTAACTTAGATTTACAGTACGGAGCGAATCGTCGGCCGCTCTTCATTACTGTAGCATTACAGTAGGAACTTCGACAAAGGTTTTAGGCCATTGTAGGCCATATTCTGCATCGGAACAAGACCAAACAACCCAAAAACTTCTATACTATGATAACGGAAGACGCTAATTTCGAATACGAAGTTTCCATTTTACTGTGATGCTTCTCTCCAAGGTTATCCTATTTAAACCGTAATGACTGAACTTCTAGCATTCGTCAGAAATGTGACTACACCGTCAAAAAAGCTAAAAACACTCGTAAAAAGTTATCTAATGGAATCAGCGCGCACGAAAACCCTAGTACACGATTTTTCAGATTTTTTGAGCAAATTTTGTCAAATGGCATATTTCACAATAAATCCACATGCTAGAAGTTCATACCGTAATCCTACAGTAGCGAACAGCGATCGGTGACTCGCTGCATACTACAAATCTAAGTTGAACCTCGCTCCACAGAATGGTGCCTCAAGCTCGGCGAAAGACAAGAAAGCAACGGAGTTATTAACACATTGACGACCGCTTGACACACATGGTGTGTCAAGGCTTGACACACCATGACTCTCATTGAAATGGCTACTAATTTGTGTCAAACCAACTCCGGAAATTTTCTATAAGGCTGGATTTAGATACAACCTTTACTGTTTTCGCCAGCATTCCAGCGCTACTGTACGTGTACTGTACATGGAATTGTGCGTGATTTTATTTGAAAAATGTCGGCTGGTCCGAGAAAGGCTTCGGTCGTCAATGTGTTAACGATCAAACAGTGTTCACTTTTTTGGGACACCCCTGTATATTTGATCTACGCAACGCACATGGCTGGCACAAGCTATCGTTCATGTTGGCCGCCCCCATGCAGCCGGATACATTGATAATCACCCCGGCGAATTCGAGTCTCCTATTCAGTACTGTTTTTCATCGACTTTGATGGGTAGTTGTGAAGCTGCTGATTGTCATCGTTTATATTTTATCCGATGTGCGCGCTGCGAGAAGTTCTTCTGCTTTGAGCATTTTGTGGTTGTATTCCATACGTATCAATATATCCTTGAAATCCATTGTTGAGACATCATAACCCCACAGATTTACATATTTTAGAAGATTATGGCTTATTGTAGAGATAGTGGCTTTTTTGCAGTAAATAGCTTGTTTAAACTGCGTTGAAATGAGTATTTTTCGTTGACTGTCATCCAATAGACTTTTTACAGAACTGCAAAACAGAATAGCAGCAAAAGGACTCGAACCCTTGACTATCTGCTTCGTAGTCCACTGTCTTGCCACTGCGACACTGCCACACGTTTAAGTTCTTCCCAGCGCCTCGCTCATTACTAAGTGCGCCGGCTGCGCTGGAGAAAAATGGTCTCGTAACTCTCCCCACAAAACCGCTTGGCAACTAGCGAAAGTAGTTTTGAGTTTGCCTTACCGAGGACGGTTTCCTAAGATACAGCTCATTCCAAATAGCCACTTCGACCGATCATCCCTCCCTTGTTAGAAATTTGAAAAAAATTTTCAGTGATGTAGCACAGTAGTTATTGCCATCGTGGCAACTTTTAAGCCTTAAAAGATTCGAAAACCTATTCAAATTCGCTTTTAGTTCGTATAGTAGAAGTACTTCTGTGCCAAACAAGTTTGTTAGGTGTTCTTTTATTTCCGATCACGGCCTAACGTTTCGACGCCTTTCGTCTTCCTCAGAGGCCTGAAAATGGCTCGAAGTGTTACCCGAAAAACGAGGCCATCAAGTACCATCTCCATTCCTGCTAGTTCTCAACCTTCGTTCAACATTCCTACCGCAAAAACTGCTATGCCAGAAGATGAACATACCCTGTGAACACCGCTATTTAGGGTTCCGCACCGGAAATGATGGTCTTGGCGGATAGAATGGACTATACCATATAAGCACATAAGTGATCTACAGTTTGTATAGAGATATGAAGGGGAGGAAGTCCGTGGTAATTGACAAACACTCATTTTTATTGTTCATTGCTGGATTCTTCGCAGAAATCCAGAATGCTTCTAAGGCCTTCCTCGCCGAGGTTTCCTTCTCATGTGCCAAGATTTGGCATTTGATATTGAAATCGGCTTCACCATGCGAATCGTGGCTATGTTTGCCCAAAGGTGAAAACAATGTTCTACGCCTTTTATCTGCAAGATGTTCTTTTAAGCGAGTACTAAGTGTTCTGCCGGTCTCTCCGATGTAGATGGCATTGCAGCTAAGACATTCTAACTGATAAACCACTCCCATTTGTGCACAATCACCTATTTTGCCGTGCGGACAGACTACGCATCGATCAGTTATACAGTATCGATCGTAAAGTCTGTTTCGAACTAACTGCGTTTTGATATTGTCACCTGGGATGTCGACTAAAAGTATGTCAACTATCTTCTAGCATCACCGAGCTTCTAAACCTTGGTCCTTCGTTCTCCCCTGCACAGAATATCAACGCTATGACTTGCCGTAAGATAGTAGGAAGTTTGCACAAGTTCAGAGACACTCTTAGACTGAAAGCCAAATACGGCAGTCCAACAGATGGAGCTCGCGATAATAACAGCTTACTACCGACCATTCCCTTCCCTCAATCGTTTTACAAAGAACCATCACCCGTCCCCGAGATAGATATGAAGTTCCATCTCTTATGCTCTGGTGTTTTCGAAGTTTTGAATAGAGCAAAACATCAACATCAGAATAACCTTACACCCAAACAGTGGCAGGGTTTTAAAGAGATACGTGAGCTAATCTCGAACGGCACGGTGCGACTATCTGTAAGCGATAAGGGAGGCGAATTCGTAGTAATGCCTCAAGAACTGGATCGTCGAATAACAACAGCTCATCTAGCGGACACCACAACGTACAGAGTAGTTTTTGCGAAAGACTTCCGCTCTCAGTGTAGAAAACTGAATGACGCTTGGACCGTGATAGCAAAATCTGCCGGACTTGACGACAGATTCATAAAGAGGTTGAAACTCAGATGTCCAAGTTGTCCGGTGTTTTACAGCCTGATTAAGACGCACAAGCTTTCTTTGCGGGACATGAGCTCAATGTCAGAGGATACTTACAAAATCAGACCTATTATTAGTTGTGTTGGCGGTCCCACCGATCGAATTTCGTGGTTCTTGAACAAGATAGTAAGCCAGTTGCTTCCCAAAGTTCCAGCACATTTATCCAACTCTCGTGAATTTATCGAAACAGTCCGAAGCGCTCAGTTTGATCCGAGCACTGTAGTCGAGTCATTCAATGTGACTTCGCTCTACACTAATGTGCAGAATGAACAAACCTTGCAAGCGCTATCGGAATTGTTGGATAAACATGCAACCACCATCAATACTTTTGGGCTTGGCAAAAGGCGGACTATGACCCTTATAAGCGAATGTTTGAAGTGCAACATCTTTAGATGGTCTGGGACTTACTATGCCCAGATACGCGGATTAGCTATGGGTCAGAGGTTGGCGCCGGTTCTCGCCATTTGTTTTATGAGTAAGATCGAAGAACCAGTGCTAGCCCGCATGCCGCTAATGTACTGCCGGTATATCGATAACTGTTGTATATTTACATCAACACAGTCCGAAATGGACAAGTGTTTCGAAATTTTGAACCAGCAGTCGCAGTACATAAAGCTCACACGAGAGACACCACACGACGGATGGCTGCCTTACCTCAACGCGCAAGTAAGATTATCCAATGGTATTGTTAGCATGAAGTGGTACCGCAAAGAAAGCTCGAAGAACATCCTTTTGAATGTTAAATCAGCGCATCCTGCATCTATGAAAAGAGCGGTGATCAAGAATATGTTTGAAACGGCTATGCAGATGTGCTCCGGAGAAAGAGAACGATGCGAATCGCGAGATCTGGCCTCCAAGATTGCTTGCAGCAACGGTTACCATTCTTCGGCACATGATCAACATCAGGCGAATGGTAACAAAATCCGCGATAATAAGCTCCCACTGTGCCTTCCATTTATTTCCGATAACATCAGTGCGGCATTTTGAAAATGTATTTCACGTGCACAACTGCAAAATGATATTGTTTTAGTCGACATCCCAGGTGACAATATCAAAACGCAGTTAGTTCGAAACAGACTTTACGATCGATACTGTATAACTGATCGATGCGTAGTCTGTCCGCACGGCAAAATAGGTGATTGTGCACAAATGGGAGTGGTTTATCAGTTAGAATGTCTTAGCTGCAATGCCATCTACATCGGAGAGACCGGCAGAACACTTAGTACTCGCTTAAAAGAACATCTTGCAGATAAAAGGCGTAAAACATTGTTTTCACCTTTGGGCAAACATAGCCACGATTCGCATGGTGGAGCCGATTTCAATATCAAATGCTAAATCTTGGCACATGAGAAGGAAACCTCGGCGAGGAAGGCCTTAGAAGCATTCTGGATTTCTGCGAAGAATCCAGCAATCTATATATATATATATATAAAACTCAAAAATTGTCAGTTTGGAGGGTATGTGCATTATAGAAATGCGCGCCGCTCAACCAATTCAGCTGAAACTTTGCACACATATGTTTTCGACCCCTGCGCAGATGATAGGCTACTTTTTGCGGCGATTCGTTTGGTCCTTCTATCGATTTATTGATTTGTTTACGTTTTTCTAAGGAATTGGAGGCTTATCATGTTCAGTCAAGCATTTTCCCATAATCTGTAAAGAAGGGCGGTGAAGCTCATTTTAACCTCATTATCACGAGGATGCGGTTTGAAGCGGATGTTCCTAGGGTAAGTCATCCATAACATATAAGGGGGGCGGGCTTGCAGTGCAAGTGAACGGAACAAGGCCCGGGCTGGACCGGGAAAGCCAACTAGTGAACAATAAAAATGAGTGTTTGTCAATTACCACGGACTTCCTCCCCCTCATATCTCTATACAGACTGTAGATCACTTATGTGCTTATATGGTATAGTCCATTCTATCCGCCAAGACCATCATTTCCGGTGCGGAACCCTAAATAGCGGTGTTCACAGGGTATGTTCATCTTCTGGCATAGCAGTTTTTGCGGTAGGAATGTTGAACGAAGGTTGAGAACTAGCAGGAATGGAGATGGTACTTGATGGCCTCGTTTCTCGGGTAACACTTCGAGCCATTTTCAGGCCTCTGAGGAAGACGAAAGGCGTCGAAACGTTAGGCCGTGATTGGAAATAAAGAACACCTAACAAACCTGTTTGGCACAGAAGTACTTCTACTATACGAATTATGCCCAGGTTCAAAGAAAGCGAAACTTTTAAATTATTAGAAGACTTATCGCTTTTAGTTTTTGGCACCAAGGTTTCCCCTCTCAAAGTAACCGATTTTACATGGAAAACCTTCTAGAATGAGTAGTTGGCTACAAATTATTCGTGACTGCTACCAATGCACAGTGAGTTTCAAAGCCATCATTTTGCAGGAATGAAGAGGACACAGACCTTCCGCAAGACGGCACTCTTTCTGAAGGGCTCTATTCAGTTTATATAAAAACTCTTCTACCAAGATAATTCATTGACTTTTTAGCTTGGTGATTACTCAATTATATGATGAAGAAGCAGTCCAGATACATTGGAATCCTCCGAACCTCCCCGGCATAGAGAAATGAGTAAAACTGTAGCATATAAGCAATGAAATGTTCAGGACTACTTACTTTTCCTTATTATCGGTAATTAGAAATTCCCCATAATCAAGTAGGCGGGCATCATCAGGTTCATTATATTCTGGCGTAGGTCTGACAGATTGTGTCATAGAGATCTAAAGTTAGCGGCGTGGTCACCACTAGGATTCACTGACAGTCATCTAGAAACGTACACCTCCACCCTGGGATTTTGTCGGATCCACTGCCTTTGAATCAGCCACCATCTTTGTACACTGCGAAACACTAAAATGAGTTACCACTTCCAACCACTCACACAATACTGTCATGTCAGCTGTGGTGATATGAGGATGCTGGTTAATTATATCTCAAAGCGGCAATAATAAGATACGGCCTTTTCGCACGGTATTCAGCACGATCTTACGTGTGGTCAATGTTTTGTGTTAAGGCACGTCGCATGCGACGACGCGCCCTCGCAAGGCATGTTAGCGATGCTAGTTGATAAAGTTTATAGGCCCCACTGCTTCACGCAATTTCAGTCGCAACGCGCTTTGGCTATATTCCAGTTGTCCATAACTCATAATAAGCGCAATCTAGAATTCCTGTGCAGATGACAGGACATTTAATCAGTCTGGGAAAAATACACTAACTACGCTCTGTAGTCTGCCAGTGTTGATATAGTGTGGACCCCGGCCAGTTTCCCATAGGTACCCCTGCGCAACGCACCCCCAACGCACGCCTTCAGTGCGCCTCCTGTCTTAGCTTCTAATGGAACTAGTGAACCAGTAATCTAAAGGTGCCATTTGCAAGAGCGTTCGCTTCGGGACCACGCCGCAGCTTCCCGCTATTTGATGATTTTTGAATTGGCGTTATGATTCTCTATATATTAGACTAGTTGGCTTTCCCGGTCCAGCCCGGGCCTTGTTCCGTTCACTTGCACTGCAAGCCCCCCTCCCTTATATGTTATGGATGACTTACCCTGGGACATCCGCTTCAAACCGCATCCTCGTGATAATGAGGTTAAAATGAGCTTCACCGCCCTCCTTTACAGATTATGGGAAAATGCTTGACTGAACATGATAAGCCTCTAATTCCTTAGAAAAACGTAAACAAATCAATAAATCGATAGAAGGACCAAACGAATCGCCGCAAAAAGTAGCCTATCATCTGCGCAGAGGTTGAAAACATATGTGTGCAAAGTTTCAGCTGAATTGGTTGAGCGGCGCGCATTTCTATAACGCACATACCCTCCAAACTGACAATTTTTGAGTTTTATATATATATAGATTCATCGCTCCTCTCTCATTTTCTGTTTGTGTGCTATATTCCTTCTAATTCAGGCATAAACAATCCGGATAACCGTTGACGAGCTTTCAAGTGCTTTAACCTTAGGAGCTTGAATCTTGAGTAGAAGTTTGTATTTCTCTTTTTTTTCTGGGAAATTGAGATTGAGTGATTTTTAAGGGAATATTCCTTCGAAAGCTTCTTGTACAAAATAAAAATCCCTTTCGGCTTGACTTGTAGAATGTAGACAGTGCCTCAAGTCAAACCTAAGCCTTTCGAGAAGCCGGTAGGGACTTGCTTACAGAAATGTCTACCTTTTTGAAAATTTTCATCATTTCTACGTCTACGAGGAGGAATGTTTCAAGAATGCTGTTGTTCTTTCCCTACTATACTATACTTATTACCGCTTATCCACCAGTGCAAGCTCGAAATTTGCATCCATTGATTGGATTTGAGTACTAATAGGGGTGGTTTGTACCTTGCATAGGTTTCTTTCGAAGTGAACCTAAAGGTTTCCACTTTTCAATTCTCTCCTATGTAGCCCTACTGCTCATGAGCGAGGTGAGAAGGATTAAGAAGGGCGTGCGCTTCGCGCGGAAGCACTTATGGGGAAGTGGCTGGGATCCACAGTATAAAATATTTGGCAAATATGAACCGCGAAATCGCGTAAATTATGCTAGAAACTTATGACCGCCGCGGCGGTAATTTATGCCTGGAAATTGGCATCTCAGATCACACGTGAAATACTGCGCGCATTGTAAACTGTACATATCAATCGCAAGTAACTATGACTACACATATGACCTTCATTTCCCTCATTTGGCAGGTTTCGGCGGGTTCAGACGGATCCGAAAGAGTACCTGCGGGTACCGGCGCGTTCAGAGGTCCTAGCCCCTTCCGGCGAGTGCATAAAGTTGCCACAGTATATATCGCGGGCACGTCGGCCCTGCGTCGAACCCGAATGACGTTAAAATTGCGAGAGCGGCCTGCAAAGCTTATGGGATACTTTTGCTGGGACCGCCTCTTGTTTCATAAGTTTGTAGCCCTGTGTTAAGCAAAATGAAGAAAGTCCACCAAAAATCAGTTGCTGATGTATCTTTGCTAGCGCACGTCTCTTTCTGCCCATATAATGTCAATTACTTTTTCCAACAAGTGCATAGTTCCCCTTCCTGCTCCTGAGATCTTCTCGACATCTTATATATGAAGCTGAATGTCTGTTTGTCTGTCTGTATGTCTGTCTGTATGTCTGTCTCTATGTCTGTCTGTACGTATGTTCCGAATAGAAAATTCCATTTCTGAACCGATCCGGACCAAACTTGGCACACATACGCTACGGGCCCCGGCGGGTGTCATAGGCTACTTTTCGTCATCGATCGATATCGATTTTATCGATTTTTTGCAAAGTTTGAGCCACGGGGCTGGGATTTGGCACGGGGGGGGGTAATCGAGCACGCTGATTACGAATACAATATTAGTTTTTAGAAACATCGATTACTTTTATCGATTTTATCGATTTTTTGCAAAGCTTGAGCTACGGGGCTGGGAGCTTGCACACGGGGGTAATCGAGCATGTGGATTCCGAATACAACATCTGACCACGTTGGTGAATTAGACCTCTACTACAAGACATTGTTTTTTGTAATCTCTCGCTGCCAACTCTGCCACGTATGACAACAGCATATATACGTGGCGGTTTAGAGAGTACAGAGAACTATACTTTGCAGTAGAGATTTGACAAGTCACCAACGTGTTCAGATGTCTGCAAATGCTCCGCCCAACGTACACTGGGGAGGCAACGATACCGTAGGCATTTTATGAGATTTTTCCAGTGTATGTATGAAATTTTAGAGGATATGTTCTGGAATGAGAAGAACCGAGAACAATTATTAGAAGAGCTTGTGTACAAAGGTTTTGAACTGTTTCTAGGTTGATCACACAACCCAATTAGGCGAATTGCAGACTTAAAGAGTAATAACGTGCCGATATCGAAGACACGCCCAAAATCAGGTTGTCATGCATGTGGTATTGTTCCAGTTGGCATATGAGCTTACGAAATGTGGCACCGTCCCAAAAGCCTACGAAATTTGGCTTGCGGTCTTACCAAATTTGGCATCGTCAGACAAACGTACGAAATTCGGCATCGTGCCAAGTACTTCATCATGATCTCCTCGTCTGCCGTCTCCTCATTTGCCTTGTTCCATGGATCTGGAGGAGCGAAGTGGTAAACAAGAAATCGTTTTATGTTACGTAGTGACTAGCGACTTTACGGGTCGCTAACAAGTGGGTTAGGAAAGAGCAATATTAGTTTTAGTTGTGACTAAAAATATCTCTACATAAATTTTCTACTCCTTTCTGAGAACATTTTTGTGAAAAACCATTTCATAAAGGAGAACTGCTTGAGGAGCGGTAAACTTCACAAATCATTCAGCATTTCTCGAAAGCCATGCCATGACCTTGCGAGATTATGGGAAAATCTCTTTTCAATTACCACGCTTTTCCCAACCAGCCCCCCCCCCCACCACCCGCTTCTTATGGGCACTCATTCAGAAATGAGTGCCCATAAGAAATGAAAAGACTCCACTCTACTATCATCTTGAGAACTTTGTTAATCATACCTCTCAACAAATTCCATGAAGATCATTAGGAAATCAATAAAATACACATAATTTTGGAAGTAGTAGGACATCCATAACAATGGTGTATACAACAAACAACATAGCTTGTCTCTCAAAACCAATTTTGACAGCAACAAAATCATTGTCTCAAAACTTGTCAAAAAGTCCTCCAAGTTAGGATTTTATCAAATTGAATGAAATCTTACTACGAAAAGAGACCTCACCCCCAGAACCATGACTACCGGATTCTCTTGCACTATTTTGTCACAATATTCGGCAAGCTCTATGTAAATGTAACCAAGTAACCAATTGATATTTTTCGAGCGACAAAATTTTTTTGCGACGAACACATGCTCTACGTACCGCTTATAGGTATCGCTCCTCCAAACTATGAATATTGAGATTTTATAGTGTTGCAATATTAAACCCTCCAAATAAACTATCAGTCAATTTTGGAGCGAAAAAGCGCATTTGAAAGGCCTAAAATCCACTCTAAGTCTTCCGGACCCCGCCCACTTACACGTAATTTTGAGCGAGCGCGGATTTGGAGAGCTTCGAAAAGGGCTCATTCAAGTCATTTTCTTGCGCGAAGAAGCTCAGGTATGGTTTTCGCAAGACCAAAAGGCTTTGAAAAGGTAGAAAACCGAGAAGTGAAATTGTGCCGGGACGCTGCCCTCAATTAACATATTTATAAGAAAAAACTATCTTACTGCTCTTATAGAACAAAGGCGAAGTCAAGCATTTACTCACATAACCTCAAATTGCCCTACGTGCCACCTAAGGACCGTCATCTATACTGCCCAGTCAAAATACCCTACGTGACGCTTATATAGCGAAGTCTGTTTAGAAAATGCTCTACGTGCAGCCTAAAGACCCGTATTCATAAGGAAAAACTGCCTTACGATTCCCGAGAAAAAACGGTGAAATGAGTATTTACTCACAACATTATTCATTTCCAAATTGCTCTACCTCTCACCCGGGAAGAACTGCCCAAAGGTACAAAAATCTGTTTCCCTAGCTAATCAAATGACCTACGTGCGATTATAGAGATGTCTATATGAAAGAAGTGGGATCAGAAATCCTAAATCTCTCCTAACTCGTTTTCAATCTTCTACCATACATTTTCATTCAATAATCTTCGACAAGCTATTTCCTCTTTCAATTCGCACTTCAATTTGCTGAAATGTACAACGTGCTGCTCCTACATTAGCAAACCTCGAAATGGACGTATAGAACGTATAATTTTCCGACAAACTGCAGGTGACCTAGTAATAGGGAAATCGTCATTTTTGCAAAGAAAATACACTTTCTTGAAACAACAATTTCAGAAGGATAGAAAGGCACACTGTGAAAATTCTTCAAAGCATTAAAAGTGTTTTCC